TTAATTTTGGGCCCTCTTTGCTATGTTCAAGGGATGAACACAGTACCATTGAGCTTGTGCAGAGTGCATCTGCTTGCGCCTAATCCGCCAGGCGGACGTGGGCATACCAGCTCGCAGTCACAGCGGGGGCACCGCTCTCTAATCTGCTCCCTTTAAGGGTCGCCCGTCCAGCGGCTTATCCCAAGCGATTTCTCCTGCGTGCGAAAAAGCTTTCCTGCTGCCCACGCACGGGCCGCGCGTGGTCCCGGGCCGCCCCCGATCGCTGGGACCTGGCAGCCTCGCGCGCCAGCCTTCCCCGCACTTGGGTCCGCCAGACGCTCTGGACTTCAACTCCCAGCATTCCTGAACGTTTGCCAAGCACGTGCGCGCGCGCGCGCACCCCCTTTTGTCGAGGTTAACCGAGAAAGGCTATCGCTGCAATGCGGGGCGGGACGTGTAGAGGGCGCCAGATTGCAGCCCGCCCCGCAAGTTCTTTGTTAGAGAGGGTACGATAGACCTACTTTCTTATCGACACTTCCGGTATTAAACTGAAGGTTTGCCTCCCTTTAGCACAGTGGAAGGTCCCTCGAAGTCAGAAAATCACTGTATTAGATTTTATATATCTAATTATATATCTCTCAGAGCGATCCTTAACAACAGTTCGTCTATAGATAAACAATACCTTACCGAATAGCAAGCTGAAACGGTACTGCGCGTAGGAATCCCTCTGCAGTTGCGTGATCAGAAGGTCTCATTTGCATTTAACGAGTCCATGATTCATTGCGCGGAAGAAGCCCGCGCTAACTCTAAAACTTTATTATGTTTCTAAGTAACATTAAACTCTGGCTGTGAAACTGGCGGAGAAACGGGTGCACGTGTGTTGATTTCCACACGTCGCATAGTGGTTGCGCTCCAGCGCGAGACACCGTAAAATGCTTGGAGGGCGCCGGTGCTGGGGTTGGGGTCTTGGACGCTGCCCAAGCATACTCTGGTTTCTCTTCAGATCGTATAAATCTTTCGCCTTTTACTAAAGATTTCCGTGGAGAGGAACATTTATGAGTTTTTCACCAATTTTTTGAGGCTCTGCTTCGGCAGGGCTACCCATTTCAGTTTAAAAACAGATGAAATGTTTCTGTGTGGTGAAAGCGGCTACCTTCACAATCGATTATTTCGTTACTTCGCCACCGAATCTTCAAAATCTGCTCTGCTCGCGTGTCTCCATGTAGCGAGACGGGGCAAAGGTTGGCGGCTGGGAGAAGTTCCCTGACCGCGCGGACTTTACCCTGCTTTGCACGCTGCAGTTTCATGGGCACGTTTTGCACCTGTGAGGTGTACAGAACAGGATAAAAACTTTGGACTACGACAATTCTTAAGAGTAAATTTGCTCAGCCTGGTTTGGGCTTAGTCTTCTCTTCCATTGCCTGCCCGAGTTCTAGTATAACAAATCAGACTGTGTTCACGTTGCCTTCCACTCACTTCCTGCTGCAGTTCCAATGTCACCACGACCCCGAAATAATCTAATCAGATTGCCCTTGATCTCCACAGCTACTCAAGTCCGGGGCAAGAGAGAGAACAAGCTGGGGTTAAACCTAGACAAGACCTGGTGCTGTTGGTCAGCTGGAAGTGTGACTTGGTGAACAAGATTTGGCCTGTCTTGAAGGGAGTTCTGCTCCCCCGATGCATCAAGTCTATTCCTTAGAGCATTTCCCAGCTTGGCCTGATTGAGCAGCAGACATTCTGTGCCTTGGCTAGTACATCAAGCTTGGAGCAACTGCTGGGGCCTGCAGAGGAGAATATGCAGAATATCTGGGCACTTCTATTCATGCAAAATGTGGCAGCTAGATTACCGATTCAGGGTACTGAAGCTGCATCACACCAATAGTTAAAGGCCTGCACTGGTTACCAACCATTTTCTGAGTTCAATTTAAGGTGTAGGTTTTTAAAATCCTGAACATTTAGGGCCTGGCCATCTACCAAGACCTGGTCCAGTTAGGAACTGCATCAGTAGCAGCAGCTTTCCTCGGGATCTTAAAGAGACAATTATGGTTAAGAATTAGAATTCCATAATATTTTATAAGAAAATGAAAGCAGCTAAAAGTTAGTCTAAAACAGAAGCATATTGACATGGTGCCACTCAGGGCAAATTAGCATCTTTTCTCTGAGCAGTCAGAATTGGACCAACTATGGGATGGATGGACTCCATCCAGGAAGCCACAGCCTTGAAGCTTAAAAAGCTGGGCAGGGCTGTGAAGGACAGGCCTTTTGGAGGGTTTCCGTTCATAGGCTCACGTGAGTTTGAAATGACTTGATGACACTTAGCAACATCAGCATAATTCTAGGAGGACAAATGCTAGCAGTATTCTTAAGGTGGTGGTGGGCATCAAGACTTGAGTTTTGCCAGAACCCTGAGATTCACAAAGAAGAGCATGGTTTTTAAAAGATCATGTTTCAAATTGAGGCGTTTTGGCACTGGGATCAGTTTTTAATTCTGATTGGCATTGAAAGTCCTTCCACAACAAAACTTTTGCTAGGAAGTCCCGAGCATTCTTCATCCCAACCCTAGGATAGGTTGGGTAGTTTGGGTAGGTTGTCTATCACCTGGAGATGAATGTCTAGAAGTAGTTTCATTTTCCCAACTGCTCAAAGGTTTGGCACTTTATGAAAGCTGTGCCTTAGGATGCAGACAATCAGAGTTTGCAGAAAGCAGAGCATGAAAACCAGGAGAGAAAATGTATGCTGCCGTTCCTTAGGCAACTTCCCTGAAAATGAGGAACAAGCCTATCAATAAAGGTCAGTCTGAACAGGCAGGCTGCCCCCAAAAATAATTGAATTCGGGAATTTAAAAGAAAACAGTCTACCACTCCCAGCATGCTTCAGCTAGCCTGTTTTTGTTTAACGTGTTGTAAATGTTGAGCTCATTGATAATCTCGATAAACGGTGCGCGATTTGCACAGCTTTACAGCTTTTGCACGCAAGCAGGAACAGCCTGCCGCGCGACACGGCGACGCATTCCGATGAAGGTCAAGCCGGGGACAGCTGGGAAGTTCCGAGCACCAGGACAGCCACTTGCGCAAACACGGCACGGAAGAGCAAGGGCACGAAACGCGGCACTGAGCCCGGCGGGGAAGGTCTGGCACGGCCGGGCTTTCCCAAGGCTGCAGTAGCAGTGGCAGCGCCCGGGAACGAGCCTTCCCCGGCCCGCTGCGCCGCACAGAACTTCGAGAACGTTCCGACGATTTTAAATGTGGCGCGTCTGAACACTGCATCACAAAAGCGCTTTATCTGATTTTGGACCAGCATTATCAGCCCTGCCGGAACAGAGCTTCAAAAAATTAATCAAACACTCATAAATGTTCCTCTCCACGGAAATCTTTAGTAAAAGGCGAAAGATTTATACGATCTGAAGAGAAACCAGAGTATGCAACACTCGGCCCGCGGAGCCGGCCCCACCGCCGTCGACCCTCGTGCAGCTCACGGTGTCTCCCGCGCTGCGGCCGCGCTGCGCCGCGGCGGGGCCCTCGCTGCGCCCCCCGAGCGTCCGGAGCCAGGCCCGGGACGGCGCACCGGAGGAGGCGCGCGAGACGGCGGGGAGCGCGCGCCGCCGCTCCGCGCGATGCATCACGGTCGCGGCGAAGGCAAATGAGCCCCGCCCCGCCCCCGTCTCCGGGACCGTCCGCGCGAGGGAGGCTTCGGTCGCGCGCCCTCTCCCGGTGGCGGCGCGCGTTGCTGCCGCGCGGCCCCGCCGCTCCGCCTCTGGGCGCGGGCGGGCGCGCGTGGCAGGGCCGTTGTCGCGCGCGCGAGAGCACGGGAGCTCCGGCACGCGCTGCTCGGAGCCCGGTGCGGCTGCGCAGCACCGCGGGAGCGCGCTCTGCACGCGCCCAGGGGCGCCCCGTGCTCTCCGCGCCGCCGGCGCGTGAAGCGCTACAGGGAGAGCGGCGCCGTCGCGCCCGAGCTCTGGGCCGACGAACCGCCCGCACGCCGCGCGTTGGCAACGCGGCGGGGCCGCGCGGATCGAAGCGACGAGCCGCGCGGGCAGCTGCAGGCCGCTCCGGGGAAGGCGACCCCTGCAGTAATGCTTGGGCCATGCGCTCTGTGCATGGCCAGAAGCCGCTGCCCCATCACAAGGTCTGGTAGAGTTGCAGCGGAGGCCACCATCCGACATTTCAGGGGATGGGCTGGCATCACACTCAGGATTAATTATATTATCACTACATTAAGTTTGTGGCTTGACTTTTTCCTCTTGCAAGGTACCTGAGGCACCGCGATCCTCCTCACCATTTTATCCTGAATCCCGGTTCATTACGCCCAACAGCGGTGGGTATTCGTCAGTAGCCTGCCTTGGACAATGGAGGCTCGACCCCATAAGACTGGCTTTTAAGGGAGGCAACACTCATGGGCCACGGTCTCTGTGCCTTGTGATACCGCAGAGTCACATGGGGATCTGTTATCCGGCAAGAAGTGGGTGTGGGCGAATCTAATCTTCATATGCGCAGAGGGCCTCTTTTCAGCAACACCTCCAAAGTGCCTCTTTTTATTCACTGCTCAAGCTCCCATGTGCAGAAGCAAAACAAGCTGCCAGATTCCAGGCCAGGATCTTGCGTCTAAACTGTGCAGAACTGATGCAAAACGGTTGGTGTACTCTTTGCTGTCCACACTGCTGTTGCTCTATGCATTATTTGCATCCAGTAATATTCAAAGTTTAACACCCCAAATCTTAGCTAGTTCTGGTTTACTTTTCTGTCCTACCAGATTCCAAGGAGCTCAGCATGGACACATTGTTCTGGTTGCCTCTCCATTTTATCCTCACCAGTGCCTGGTTAGGAGGTGTTTGCTCTGAAAATATGGTAACAGTGGGGGACAAGGTAGAGTTTTTATCTATTTGTAATGCATTATATTTATATCCTGCCCTTTTTTCTTCAGGGAGTGCAAAGCAGCTTGTATCATCTTCGTTCTGTTTTCCATTTTATCCTTACAAGAACCCTGCAAGGAGCTCTTTATTTAGAAAGTACGACTACAGTGGGTGACAGGAAAGGATTTTCTCTTTATTTATGATATTTATTTTCTGACTGTTCTCTTTCTTAGGAACCCAAGATAATTTACATAATTTTCTTCCTCTCCATTTTATCCTCACAACAACCCTGTGAGGTAGGTACGGCTGAGAGTCTGCGCGTGGCCAAAAATTAACCAATGAGCTTCATCAGCAAGTGGGGACTGGCATCCACATCTCCCAAGTCCCAGTAATTCATTCTAACCACTGCGACCTTTTGGCTGTTTGCAAATCGGAGTGACTGGTACATGATTTGTGGTTTGGAAAATAATAAACTTTTCTTCCTCTCAGTGTGAGAAGTTGTGCAGGACTGTGTAGGTCAAAGCCAGCAACTTGAACTGAGCTTGGAAGTATATGGGCAGGCAAGGCAAGAGCGCTGGAATGGGTGTTACAAGACCAGCCTTTCTAGCCCTCATTGTTAAACTAGCTACCAGATTTTGCCCGAGCATTCTAACAGATCTTATGTCCTAACTTCTGTTACATATTGTGGTTGTTAAGCTCCATTTTAAATCTGGTGTCTCAGTTTGGTAGCATAATTCTTACGATATTTTATTCTTACGTGTACTTTTCTATTGTATTCTAACTGTATTTTAGGCACAGTTGTAAAGCACCCAGAAAACTTTGGCTGTTGGGTAGCATAGAAACAGTTATAATGATAATATTGAGATGAGATGATAACTATTAAGAACCTAGCTGAAATTCCACAGCACCAAGAATTGCGTATTTATTTGCGTACTGACCATGTCATAGGAGTAGGAATGGGGCAAAGATCACTAAGAAGCCAACCTGTCCAGGTGAGGCAGAAAACGTCCTACATCGATAGGCATGCTCCGGCTGGCTGGGGAATCCTGGGAGCTGCAGGCATCCCAGGATTCTGCACCTGCAAGGGGTTCATTCCATCCTGCACCGAAACAACACCGTCCAGCATCACACATGCACACATTTGTCAAATAATGGAAGTCAACGGGCACACACAAACCAGTGCGTAGCTTTCCTGTGGAGAGCATAAAACTTTTGTTCCTTTTCATAAAGACTTCTTGGCGATACAGCAGTTATACAGAATAATTATCTTCTGGGAGATACAGCAAGCAAATTCCAGGGACCCCATCCCTAGCCAGAACTGGGGTGCTTCCGTGTAGCCCTTCCTGAGAATCAGGCCTTCATATGATCCAGCTTCAAATGCATGGATTTCTCCAAGCCGATGGCTGGCTTGACCTGGCTGCTTCCAGCAGTTTTCCTCATCCAGGTGAAGGTGCAGTGTTTACTGTCTGTCTGAAACACCGCTGGAGGGGTCTCCCCTTCAGGAGAACGGATGATAAGCCCACCTGTAGATGGAAAACAGTGTCTCCTTCAAGCTGAGGAAAGTCGGCCGGTCTTCTGGATGGCCCTTCCAGCATTCTAGCATGATGCTATAAATTTCGGGAGAGCAGCTATTTGGGCGGGGGAGGCGGTATCCCCGAGTAATCTGCTGGATAGTTTCTTGGTTGGTCAACCCTGGAAGAAGAAAAATAGGCTTGTGTGTATATGTACATATCAGTATTAATTGGCAGATTTCATAGGTCTGGTATTTTCTTCCCACCGGCGGGATGTCTAAGAGACCTGAGGCCGAATGATGTGGTTGGTGCACATTCCCACATTCAAACATTCTAAGCTCTGATCGCTCATCGCTCAGTTGGAGGAGCAGCATTCAAATTCTGTGCTGGTGTTCTGGGTTTTGGTTCCTCCGATTGAGTGGACTCACACAGGGCTGGCCCTCAACATTTTGGCTTTCCTTAGGATGCCCAGTTCCCATGTGTGGCCAAATTACTTTGCAGAAAATCCTACACACACTCCCACTTTCTGGCAGAAAATACAACATGAATGCATTAGGGTGTAATTCCGCCGCCCCAGCCTTGATGCACAGAAGCCCCTGAACGCAAAGGCTTATGTGTCTGCTATGCTCCAGGGGAGGCATGCCGTGAACCCTGACATGCCCGGCCAGAGGAATCGTCCCAAGCCCTCAGGCCCAGTCTTCTCCCATCCCCAGCAGGCCTCCGTCCGTCTGTCCATCCGTCCTTCCACTGCCCACTAGCGGCGGCTCCCTCCCGTCTGGGACACATTTGCAACCTTGGGGGAGTCTTGGTCTTTGCAGGCACATCCCTGAGATCACAGGATCTCAGAACCAGGATGCCAAAGAATCCCGTGCCCTCCCAGATGATACCAGGAGGCCATAGGAAGAATCGAACCCTTGCTGCCTTTTTGCAATGCCGAAAATCAGTTTCCTGCCACATAGTAGTTGCCTGCCCAAAGGCAGCATGTCCAGTGTCCCAACACAGCTAAGGGGCACTGTAAGATCATAAGAAGGTCCCTGCTGGATTAGGCCCAGGCTCTGTCTGGCCCACCTGTTCACGCAGCATGGCTACTTTAACAAAATCAAAGTCTGCTTATTTTTTTGTTTTAAACTCAGGCAAATAAAAAGGTCCTAACCTGGTTCATAAAACTTAGCAGCAAGAGTTCAGGCTGAGTGTTCCCAAAAGAAGGGGCCACCACTAAATAGACTTTTCTGCTGCTCCTTGTGACCCACCTCGCTTCACTTCCCCATATTTCTTAAGTTTCTGTACTGCCCAACAGCCAAAGCTCTCTGGGCAGGACATGGCAGCACTTGTTTAAACAGCACTGTACCTTCATAAGGGCATTGCCCATATGTGAAAACCTCATAGAGAAAAATGCCATAGGACCAAACGTCTGATTTCGCCGAATAGGTCTGGTAGATGGCCGCTTCCGGCGCTGTCCATTTCACAGGGATCAGGGCACTGCCAGAGGTGGAGTAGATGTCATCCTAGGCGGAAAGAAGCCAGGAGGGGGTCCTTAGCAAAGGGCCTAAAATTTGTGCCCTGCAGGCTGGTAAGCAAAACAAGCATTATTTCCCCTGAATGCTCTGTGGTTGTTTTGCAGTGACTTTGTATGACTTTGAGAGTTAGACAGAGACATAGGATCTGAGTGATCTCAGCCTTCCTGCTCAGAAAAGTCGTGCTGGTATTACATCCCTTTGAGCAGCAGCTCCCCAGAACACTTGATTTTAAACTCTCGCAAATTTGGAAGTGCCAGTAACTTTGCACACTTGCACTTAACAGCAACTTTAGGGGGCTGGTTGGGGCTGGGGGCGGCGGGTGGGTGAGAACGTGGGTTGTGTACAGAAGGTCCCAGCCTGGGAATGAGAGGACCCTAACTGGAGAGCTTGCAAAGCCATGGGGGTTGGGGAAGCCAATCTGGTGTTCTCCCAGACCTTTTGCACTACCACTCCCATAAACCCCAGCCAACCTGACCAAGGAGGGGGAGAGTAAGGGAGCTGCAGCCCAAAACTTTTGGAGGGTACCAGGTTCTCCCATGAATAAAACTGGGCTTGAGGGAGAAATAGTTGTATTTCAGACAGTTTTCTCAGCTGCATGTTTAATTTGGCTTTGTTTATCCAGGGTGGGGAAATGCAGGGCGAGGTTCCCTTCATGGGCACATGCTGAAAGGAATATACTGTAGACAATAGAGAGATGAGCGATAAATGAGCAACAACTCAAAGGCTTTCTTGAATGAACCTTTAGGAGCCTGGCCAGGCCGAAATCAGCAATCTTGCAAGAAAGGTCATCTCCCACGAGGATGTTTCTGGCAGCCAGGTCTCTGTGAACAACGTGCTGTTCTTCCAGGTATGTCATCCCATCCGCCACTTGGCATGAGATGCTGAGCAGGTGATGTGTGGTCAGTTCCTTCCCTGCTGCACCTGCGAAAAGCAGAAGCGTTGAGACGGTTGCTGTGGACATCGCAGATCCTACCCGTTGTATGGAAACGGCACAGCTTTCGCTCCCCACCCGCATCGCTGGGGGTTGCAGCCTCTTTCGGAGCAAGCTGGTTCTCAGGGTGGCCTGGTGGGGTGTGCGTGTGTGTCTGTGCGCACGCATGCATGCAGAAAAGGATCAGGCCATGCCTTACGAACAAAGAACAGAGACGCGGGAGGCTATTTCCAACCTGTGCATTCTGGATGCTGCAGAGAAGTGAGGGAACTAATTATCTGATAGATTTCAGGTTTCAGAAGTCATTTCTTCCCTTGTCCGTGTAGATCATCCCGACCTGTTCTCCTTGGGAGTTGTCCCTCTCTGGGTGACAAACGAGATCTCGAAAGCAGGTCAAGGTGTTCACCACGGGACAGCGCTCATGCAAGAACGCCCTCCGCAGAAGTAGCTCGACCTGATTCCTGGGATAGATATTTCCCAGCTGGGAGCAAAAGGCCAAGGAATATATACACCGTGGGGGTGTTCTTTTGTTGTGGTTGTTTGGCATGCTGGTGCCTATTTGTCACGCTGGTGTTGGAATGAGAGCTGCCCTTTGATAGAATCTTAATAGACAAATTGAAATATCCTGGCTGCCCAAAAGGAGAAGAGACATGTGGCATTTCAAGCTTCTAATGAGCCCCAATTTTCTCTAGAGAATGGGTGAGTTGCATGCATGTTGCAGAACAACTTTGGAAAGTAGCCCTGAATGTTTTTAAAGGTGATGCCAGGCCTTGGGGTACAGAGGAAGGCCGTCATATGTATACTTGCTTATGCATGTACACACACACACACACACACACACACACACACACAGAGAGAGAGAGAGAGAGAGAGAGAGAGAGAGAGAGAGAGAGAGCGAGCGAGCGAGCGAGCGAGCGAGCGAGCGAGCTTCCAGATGAAGGAGTACTTGTCCTAACAGGAAGCCATCATGCAGCTATCTGGTTTTTTTTCCTCGGTGGATTGTCCAACACCAGAGAACAGATGGAAGAAACCACAGGACGACACGAGAAACTTGCAGGTCAAAAACACAAGCATCCGCACGTATGTCATCAGAGGCAGGATCCAGATCCTTGCACTTAGGAAGAGGCCCTGGCAAACCCCACGTGCCCTGGCTGGGGATCAAGGGTGAGCCAAAATGCTTGGGCTGCTGTTGATCGATTTGGGTTACGAAGGAGAGTGGTCCCAGTCCGAGTTTAGTCTGAGTTTGCCCATAAAGGGGGATTCCTAGTATGGGTGAAGGAAGGGAAGCGAATTTGCTTTGCAAGGGCTGAGCTGCTGGATCGAAGCAGCAGCCCTTGAAAGATGGTAGCTGTGCCAGAGACCCGCTGCCGGGCAGGTGAGATGCAAGCTGGTAGGTGGGGCGAAGATGACGCGCTAAAGCAGCTGTTGAGCTTGGGAATGCAGCTGTGCAATGTTTGCTTGTGCTCAACCCCCCCCCCCCCGGATTTCCTTGCACACGGCATGTTTTAACTGGCTTCACTTTGAGCGTGATTCGGGGAATGAGTGGTGTGGGCGGCAGCCTCTGGGCCACCTGAGAAGAGGGAACGGTTCCAACCTGGCGCCCCACCCTCCATGGGTCAGGCTGCACGCTGACCGTGGCTGATAGGCATTGTGGTCCAACACCCCAGGGCTGGGGCATGCTGGCATAAGATGGCCCGGCTCTTTCTGCTTTCTCAAGGGGCCAAAGGGCACGGGCAGGGAGTGCGGGGCTACGCACTGTTCAGGAAGCCGTGCAGGTTGCCCTTCCGCATCAGCTCGGTGACGATGTACACGGGCTCGCCCACGGAGCAGATGGCCAGGAGCTTGATGAGTCTGGCGTGCTTCAGGCGCTTCAGGTTCTGGATCTCCTTGGCAAAGTCGTCCCGCATGTCAGCTGTGGAGCAAACGCAAACACCTGTCAAGGACGGGGCGTTCCTGGCCCTCGGAACTCTGCCTCTCTGTGCAGAAGGCAGGTGTGGGCCCAGGCAGACCCCCAAGGCGATGGCCGTGGCCCCGCCTGGCCCCACGGCTGCTGCTCCTGCCTCCGGAACCCGTGCCAAAGGCACGCATTTCTCCTTTTCCCGGAACCCAGACGTGCCGCACACCAAGCACGGCGTTTCCCAGCAGAACTGCCGGGATCCTGACACCTGCTCTGAGCTTCACAGAACTGGCCACCCTGGCCAAGCTTTCCTGGGTGTGAGCCACTGGCTGCCCTGGAATTTACTTCTGAGTAGACCTGCATGCTACAGAAAAAAAATCCATGGAGCGGCAGTGTTGCTGGCAAGGAACGCCCCATTACATCTACACACAGAGACTTCTGGCATCCTGTTCGGACTTTTCGTTACAATCCAGGCACTGGTTGGACACCCTGGTTGCCTGCTCTGGTGCAGATGCAGACAGATCTCTGAGGTGCTACAGAAGGGAGTGCCTCTGAGCATGTGCAGAGTATATTTGCCTCCTCGCTCCTTTGGGAGGCTGTCTTTGCCCCAGGAGGGCCATGGCTCCTGCCTCACCCACCTGGAGCCTGCACAGCTTGCTTGTGGGGTCAGGGGAGGGTTGTCTCTGACCACCTTGCTCTGCGCACTGAGGGGGAACTGCCAGCAGGCTGCACGGCCCCTGTCCCTGGAGGTTGCTGGATGCCCTCTAAAGTGCCAGCAGGCCCCCGAGAGCAGACCTGGGACGCACAGGGAGCTGCGGGTGGTGGAAGGAAGGCAAGACCCTTTGGCACATAACGCGGGCTCTGTCCTAGACATCGCAAATCTGGGCCACTGATCGACTCTTGTTTGACTCGTCCTCAGGGCCCCCCTTGCCAAAACACCCTGAATAATAATGTTAATCAGAACCATAACGACATCTGTGCCACTGTTACTTTCGCTGTCCCAGAACCCTGCGTGGTTTTCCGTCCTCACCCAGAGCAGGAAAAGCAGCACACCAGAAGGCAGAATACGTCAAAAGCAGAAAGCAGCAGGCAAACGGAAAGCCTGTCCCTCCAGACCAGTAGCAGCGACACCGATGGGCTGCACCGTTCAAGCACCTCGGGTTACTAGCCTTTTCTCTTGGATGGAGGTGCGGGAAATGGACTTGAGCCGGCTTCCCACAACCTGGCGCCCTCCAGAGGTGCTCAGTGGCCGAGCTTGGGGGCACCAGTATGAAGAAGCCTGAGCTAACTGCCCTGGCCAGGCTGAAGCAGTGCGGTGGGTTGACTTCCGCCTCCCCACTGGCCACCACAGGGTTTTAATTTTCCTTTGACTAAATGACTATTGCTGTTACGTTGCATTTCTATCCTGCTTTTTTCCCTCTCGTCAAGAATCCAAGGTGGCTTTCATAGCTCCGTTTTATCCTCCCAACCCTGTGTTCTTGATCTTCAGCTGCAGCTTCCAATCTCAGGACCAGAAAAGCGCTGGGAAACAACATCTCGGGGTCTGATCTACCATGCCAGCTTTACCCTCCGGTAAGGAGTTGAGGCACAAACAGTCTTACTCACACAGAGAAGACAGCCTGAGTCACGCGAAGGCGATTGAGCAACCTGCTGGGAACCAGGGAGGCACGAAGGTGGAGGGAAGAAGCGTTTTGCAACAGACCACGGGCTCTGCCCCCACCAACCTTGCTTCATGATTTTGATGGCCACCGGCACTGTGTTCTTCCACATCCCTTCCCACACCTCTCCAAAATATCCTTCTCCCATCTTCCTCCAGAGCTGGAACTCCGAACGGGGACGCTCCCACTGGTCTGTCTCCAGAGGCCTCTGCGAGAGGACAAACACGGGGCAAATTGACCTTGCTCAGGACAGAACCTGCACAAGGCAACGGGTCAGTCTACCCACCACACAGAAAAGGGTCTGGTTTGCATGGCCGGGGAATCACATCTTAGAGGAGAAACACAGAAACAGAGTGAGTCGGAAGGGGTCTCCCAGGCCATCTAGTCTGACCCCCGGCTGCAGCCGGCTCTGCTCATGACATGCCCACCATGTGCATGTCCAGCGTATTTTTGAAGACCCTCACCAACGGGGCCTCAACCTCCTCCCGTGGAAGCCCATTCCACACCCTGGGGGTCCTAACTGTCAGGAAGTGCTTCCTGGCATCTACATGGAACATTGAGAAATTTGTATGAGAAATCCCATATATATTGAAACCTGCAAATTCTGCAGCTCAGCACAAAAGCCCACCTTGCCCTCTGATGCTATGCAGACAATGTGCTTGAGTCCCCTGATTTTTGTCATGGACTGACCAGGCCTCGCCAATTAGTGAAAAGGAACACTGGCAAAACAATGCACTCGCCCTCTTTTCGGCCTTTCCTTTCCCATGACTTTTTCCTCTGCCACCAGAAGTAAACCTTTCTGTCTGGCTGCTTGCACCAAACCAGCTTTAAAGCTTTCTCTGGGTCTCACAGAGGCAGCTGTGGGAATCAGCTGAATTAGATGAGGGTGAGTAATTCAGCCAAATAATGGACGCAGCAGAAGCCTGCTTGGAGCCTAGGGCTGGCGCTTCTGCTCCCCAGTTCAGGCATCCCTCCTTCCACAAGGGTTGAGGTCTTCATGGCTCTGCTTCGGAAGGGCCTGGTTAAAGTTAGCAGCCTGCTGCATGGGTAGGAACTTGGAACTATGGCCAGAGAATCGGTTGTAATCATATTTAAAAACAAACATTGAATCAGAACCAGATCCAAAGCAAAAACTATAATTTTGTCTTGCATGTAAGTAGGTGGGTGGGTGATCTGAGTCAGGGAGACAGATTGAAGTTTCTAGGTGGGGCTTGGCTGGGGACCAGGAAAATCTGAAAAGTGCATGAATGAGGGTGGGAGGTGTGTGGAATCTACAGCAGAGAAATGCAAATGTGAGCACAGGCAGGGCGTGAATCTTTCAGCCACTCCTAAAGAGGGATAAAGGAGAATTTTGCCTATGCGCACAAAACATGCTCTGCTCAGAGCCCCGAGTGTGAGCACATGTTGCTGAAAACAGTGGCAGGCTATCAAACACGGGTTTGTTCCTGATTCCTGGTTCGATTTGCGGAAATGTCCTGCGTGAACTGGATCAGCCTTGCTTTATGGCATGGAGGAAATTTGCACAAATTATGAGAGCAGCCAGTTTGGGAAGAGCTGCACAGTTCTTTGATGGCTACTTAATTTGTACAAGTTTCCTATGCCAACAAAGCCAATGGGGATTGTTAAATGCAAACAGGAAACAGCAAGATGAATGGCGAGTCTGGTGATCTTATACATTGCTCATTTGCCCATCCTTACTCTTAGGAGGAGTTGTTGTTGTTGTTGTTGTTGTTGTTGTTGTTGTTATTATTACTACATTTCTATGCCGCCCCTTGCCGACGCCTCGGGGCGGCTTACAACACAATAAGATACATTGAAATAAAATAGAACATAATAAATTACCACTAAATACAAAAATACAAAAAATACACTGAGATACAATAATATAAAATTAAAATTAACAGTATAAAATAAGTAAATAAAGAATATAGGGGGAGAAAAGAGAAGGAAGAAGTTGCCCTGGCCAGAGTTGTCAGAAGCATCCTACTAATCCAGTTCTAAGGCAAAAAAGATGGAGGAGGATTCCATTTAACAAATGAGATTGTGTCACTTGGTGCCCTGCAACAGCAGGGGGTTGGACATGATGGCTTTCATGGCCCCTTCCAACTCTACTATTCTATGATTCTACGAAAGAGAAAAGGCGAAAGGAGAACTTTCTACAGCTTGCTGAATCCTAATTTGATCTAAAGTAGAAAGTAATTCCTCCTTATCTGACAGTGTCATTTTCAAAACCAAAACTAACTTTAAAAACCTTTTAAATATTGTGTGTATCAGCCTTAAAGAGCACCACAATTCAGAGGTCGCTTTTCAGTATGCCTGCTAAGACCCAAAATGTGGGTCCCAGGTCTAAGAATCACAGAAAAATAAGTGCTGAATACTACATTCCAAGATCAAACATGGGACTTGGAGTTCAGAATCACAAATTCACAAATAAAAATGAAAATGAAAGATGATAGACAGAGAAAACATGTTTTATGTGAAAAGTGCGATTTTCTAAATGTGTAAGCGAAGAAGTATTGAATGAACAGAAGAGGACAAAGGGATTATAGAAGGTAAGAAGCAGACCTGAGGAATGGGCAGGAACAGATGAAAATGTATAGAGGATGTGTGCATTCAGAAGGGAGGGACCTAAGGCCCAATCTTGTGCTGGTTTGGACAGGAAAAGGGCCCTACAGCTCCCAGCATGCTCCAGCTTCTTCTGTCTGAGCTCACACAGGATTACACCATCTTCCCACCCACCTTTTGGATGCAGGGCAGAAGCAGAGGAGTCTGTATGACCTTCCAGTTGACCGTGTAGTAGTCAAGGAGCTGCTCCAGGCTTGGAAACGTGTGACCCTTTTCTAAGTAAATGTTTCCTCCTGGCTCCTTGTAGATTCTGAAGTGTCGCACTTTGGTGTGGTTCCGAACTGCAGGTTGGAAGAGAAGCGAGAATGACACGCATGTGGAAACTTGGCTGCTCCCTCTTGCCATCCCCTAATCAGAGGGGTACCAGTTCCAGGGCTAGGAAGCCAACATTTTTAGCTCGGCTTTAGGGTTTGCACAGGTGGTGTATTTTCAGACATGCAGAAATGGGCAGTGTGTTCCTTGTGGCACTGGCTACCTGACCTTGTCAAACCTCAAATTCCAGATGTCTTGACAGTGATCTTGACACAAAGACCCGTACAATAGTTCCATCATGTCTCCAAAAGTGCCAGGATCTCTCACTCTCCTGTAAACTCCCATCAAGAAATCAGAGAGTAAGTTCAAGCACTATAACCCACGCCCAAGGGGGCTGAATTCAGGTGGTGGTTTCACTGTGGATTGTAAGGTTTTCAAGACGATAAAGGATTTTGGGGAACCCCTGGGTCACAGCCTCATATTAGACACAGGCAATCCACTCTCGACCTGGGAGTGCTCTGACCCAAAGGCAGGATTTTGTGCTGAACTTTATTTCTTTCCCTTGCTGGTAAATATATTGTTTGCACGTACTTTTGGAGTTGTGAATATGTATTTAATATATTATCTTAATACCCATTTTTAAACATTTCCCAGCAGCTACCTACTGGGGGACATAATATGAGGATCAGCACTGAGGGTTCCTCAGACTGAAAAAGTCAGATTGGGAGCCTGGTGGCAAACAATCAGTTGTCCACAGAGAAGTAAAAAGAACGCTGATATCTGTTTCCTCCTAGTTTATCTGCCACGGCTTTCCCCAGATGTCCTTGGCAATTGTGGTTTGGAGGTGCTGAGAAGAATCCTTAATCCAGGAGTCACAGAACCATATTTCCCACAATCCCCTGGGAAGAATGTACACCAATAAAAGCCTGTAATGCAGCGATGCCCAAAGAATCTGCGGTCATTAGATTTCTACGCGTGGCTTCCCTTCTTGGAGAGCCCAAAGGATCTCAGGTCCGGTCTTCTGAATTCTTGTCTCTTGACACAAGGAAATGGGTTTGGCCATAAACTGCATTTCTGGATGGCCATCCAAAGACTGTAATTTGCTCTGGATCTGATTGTGGGCATGACCTGGCAAAGCTGCCGGGGCTGCCCTAATGACGGATGGTCGAAGGCACTGCTCAGAGCGCCTAGCAGCTACTTGGCCTGGGGCTGGTTTGGCCCTTGTGTGGGTGAGATGCCACTGTTGTTGCACCTTTTGGTGTAATTACACTGGAGAGAGGGAGTGTGTGTGTGTGGCATCGTAATAAACATTTAGCCCTTGCAAGATGCTCCTTACTGAAAGTTTTCGGAAGTGAGCTCATCACACAGGCCGGGGACAGATTGGTACATCGTCCATTATTTCAAAACTCTTTGTTTAGCGTGTGCCTCTGAGCTGATCGCACACCAGAATAGTGTGCATGTGCATTTTGTGTCACTGCAGCGTGGGCAGAAGTTAGCATCACAACTGTGACCTGTGGAATCCATCCAAATCGCCTGCTTCCATTTTGCCTTAACAGTTTTCTTCTCTTGGTTCTCCAGCATCCCCACGTTGTCTCCGACTGCATTCAGACAACACAATAACTCACATTTAAGGGTTGTGTACAGTCAAAGAGGGGTTGTTGTCAAAATGTGGGTGGCCTTGTCTGAACCCAACTGTGCTAGCAAGCCATGGCTTGTTAACCAAAAACAACCCATGAAGAGAATCTACAGTTGGTTGTTGGATTATGACCTGTGTGTTGTTCACCATGGCTCCCCCCCGCCTCTTTTGGTTGGGTTTGGACACCATCATCCACAATAACTGTAAGCCCATGAGTGTGGATTGTTGTATTGTCTGAGACTAGCCATTCTCTGAGTGCGGTTCCTCATCCAGCCAGCACAATCCCCTCCATGTTCCAGTGGGAGGCACTGGCCAAGCACACCAAGATTTGCATAAGTTCCAGCAATCTTTAAAAACCCTCCCTAAGGCAAACCCCAAAACATCAGAAGCATCGCCAGGAGGCATGTAAAATGCTGACTGGGTGGAAGAATAGGAATAGTGCAAGAGGATATGGGAAAGAGAGACATTTCCCAGAAAGGACTGCTTGTCTGGAATGCTAAAGAGGCCATTCAACACTGCAGAATTTTGCTCTGGTCCCACTTGTAAGCCAGGCATTGCATTTATATCAAAGAAAAGTTACTGCTGTTCTGTTTTTGTATTGGTCATGCAAAGCAAAAGCAGGAAGGATAGATTGCCACACATGCTACATTAGGATGCCTTTAGTCCATCTTCAGGGCCTTTAAGAACAGCCTAACAAAACAGAGGAACTTCCCAGGCTATGGAGATAAAGGAACAATAACAGTTTCGTCCTCGGGATGTGTCCGTGGCAGGCTATTGTGGCCAGAAAAGTCTGGCAACTTAAAAAAAAAACCAAACCAAAAACTAGTTTTTAACCAATCTGGAAAAACCTGCTGAAAAAGCTAGTGATAAACATTCAATCAAGAAGCGCTCCCTCTCATTAAAACCCTAATTTGATGCTGAGATGCAGATGGGAAAGCCCAGATTCTTTGTTCTTTGAAATGTGAGTGGTCATGCCTGGTTGTACAGAAGCACAATCTTCTGGTTCCGCAGACTGATTGCCTATCCCTCAAAGGGAACTCTCGGAAAAAGCCCTTACCTCCCTTCCACCCTCTCTTTTCCCAGATGGAAAGGCCCTGACTAAAGTGCATCTTTTCCTAACCTGCCCCTCCCTCCTCTAGTCAGCAAGAGGGTTCTTCAAATACCAGCAAAGCCACGCTGTGTGTTGACAGCCTGGGAGCAGCCCAAGGCCTGATTGCAAAACTTGGGTGATCAGTCCTGGCGCACCCCGAAAAGGCCATCCGAGGGCCTCTGTTCACCAGGGAGAGCACCTGTTCCCTAGCATCTGTCCCAGGAGGAAAGACTGTCTCTATTTTCTCGGTGGGTTGTTCTTCAAGAGGAATTATTATTCCTTCTGAAGTCCGTGCAGCAGGGAATGATTTACTAGAACCTTTGGTAAACCTAAGCCATTTCTTAGGAAGGCTAATTAAGCCGTCCTGAGGCTTTTTTGCTATTAGGACAGCATATAAATATTTTAAATAAATAAATAAAGAGACAGTGATGGCCAGTGGTTGGGCTTGGGGGTGTATTTGTAACCCCCAAGTGCAGAAAGGTGTGTTGAGGGTCGGTTAAAAATCCTATGAGATGGATGCATGGTTCTTTCGTCCAGCAGGTTTGCTAAACTTTCCTCCCCTGCCTACATGTATCAAGGAGAAGGAAGACAGCTGAGTGTCTGTCGTTCTGGAAGCAGGAATCTTAGAGCAGGACTCTTCCTTGCTTTGTCAGGAGGTGATGACAAGTCTTTCAAGTTTACCAATTATTTGGGACAGATTAGCATAGAGGAAGTCAAGGAAAGAGGAAAACAAGTGGAGCCCGCGAATTGTTTTCCTTTCCTTGGAGGGAATTCCTGCTTCACCTGGCAGTTTACAACCTTTTGCAAGATCGTTCGCCTCCTTAATTAAAAGCCAAGGGCTGCATTTCAGCTGGACAAAGAACTTCTGCTAAAGTTGCAGTGACTTTTGCAGCTTGAACCAATGAAATCACTGAGCTCAGTGGAGGTTAATTTCCAGGTAATTATTCCAGGGATTGCAATCATGCCCTAGAAAAGTAATTGTGAGTATTTATAAGTGATTTATTGGCTGGAGGGGGAGAGTCCACATTTTATGATGTAGTTTAACCAGATCGTTAGCATCTTTGCATATAAACAAAAGAAACGTACTATGTCTCTCTGTGTGTACACACACGCACACAAATCTCCAGGGTCAGGAGGTGGTAGCTGTGGATTCTCTTTGGGGTTGGCTCTGTGGTCGGTCCAATGAATCCTTCACTTCACCATTTCCCACCCCGCCTCTGCAACATCCCCCTTTCCAGCCAATTTGTACAAGTTAAAGGGTGTGTAGATGTAGCGTAATGGGTTTTTAACCTACACACATCTCCTCTGTGTGTGCAGTTTTTGCAGGTCACCTGCAATCCATGGCCTGGAATCAGAGGGGTAACACTGGGATGCTGTGCTGGTGGACAAAAATTCCCACTGCATACACAGGATTGGGCCGCGTTTAAGGCATGGGTCCTCAAGCTACGGCCCACGGGCTGGATCTGGCCTGCCAGGCCCACTGCTCCAGCCTGTCATAGCTCGCCACGAGTGCGCAAACACGCGCGCATGGCCAGGCGCCAGCTTGCTCGCAAGGAGATTGTTTTGGACTCACTCGGAGAAAAGGCTCTCTGCGCACGCATGCCCCTGCCGTTCGGCGTGCCCCCCCCCCCAGCGTGGCCCATGCCCCCCCACCCAGGCTGCCTTGGCGGTCGGGGCCCTTCCCCGGCACCTTTCAACTGGCACCTGGCACCTTCAGCTTTTTGAAGTTTGAGGACCCCTGGTTTAAGGACTCCTGAAACAAGAGGCAGAAGCATGCATGACCTTTTTGGGTATGTGGGCCCCATTCTGCACCTCATCAAGGTGAGATTTGGGTTTCATCTGCAGCAAGGGAGGAGACAGGCAAGGTGGACGACATCAAACGCCTGCAAGAGGGCACTTCCGATGCCATGCAGTCGTGAGCAACCATTGGCCCGTGGGCCATATGCGGCCCCCGAGGTTCTCCTTCTGGCCTGGTTGCTTCTTCCCCAGCCTGCACTCTCTCCTCTGGCCAGGAAATGCTCTTGCCTCCGATTAGCAGTATGGAGGCTTGGCATTGCTTTTAACAATGTGTTAAGTTCACTTCAGATATTCTCTAGCAAAAAGATTAATTGGTGATGCTTGAGGTTTGGTTTGTTTGTTTGTTTGTTTGTTTGTTCCCTCCAAGAAGCTCTTTTAAAAATGTAACACATTTTTAACAAATGTAACAAATGATCCCTGTGGGTCAGAAGGCATGGGATTGGCAATTACCTGACAAAGAGTATTCTCCTCTGTTACTCTCGCTGTCCCGGATGAGAAAGGATCCATGGCGATTTGGAGGTGAGAGGAGGAGGTAGTTGGCCTTGTTTCTGCCGATTCCGCTTATGTACCAGCTGGAAAGGAAAGTGATGGATTTGAGGTTAAAAGGATCCATTGACATCATCCAGGAGCAGGGTCAACTCCAGCCTTCCTGGAGTTCCTCACGTAGCTGCAGCCCCCTGCCCTTTCCCATAACCCCTTAGGGGTTTCTGGCTTTGGTGCTGCTTGAAACACCTCCTAAGGGTTTGTTGTGAGCAGTAACATCTTTAAATGAGAATGCGCTAGTTGTCTTTTAATTGTAAACCTATCCTATTCGCCTTCCGTGCTCCCCTCCATCAGAAGGCAACCCGGGAGAGCTTCCCTGCAGTTGATTTTGGTCCTTGGATTGAGCGAGGTTTGCCATGCTTGGAACAGGCCATTGTTCTGGGCAACCTTCAGCTCAGGAACTGGAATGAGGAAAACATTTTCAACGGCTACCAGGGGAGGCTGGTGCTGAACTGCAGCCCCAAACAGTTGAGCACCGTGGATGCTCCCATAAAGCTCAGAATAAATGTGGTAGTGGGCAAGTTGGACTTGGATGCAAAGACCCACGGCTATGCGGTGCTGGCCACGCACAGTGTTCCATCCTATGAACACTGGATCCATCCCACAGACACGCTTTATGGCTGATCCTAATTGCCTTGGATCCTCTCTCCAGCCCCTTCTAAGAAAACAGTGTGGAAGAAAGTGGTCACTGTCAACCTTACATTACAAAGGGGCCAAAGGGATTCTGGAACGGTTTTCAGCCTCTTGTGAAAAACCACAGTCCTTGAAATCTTGAATCTACCTCCTCTACCTTTTTCAGACAAAGATGCAAAATCTACCATCTCTGGAAAAACCTGAATCTGCCTCCTCTGATCTAGAGATCTGGTGACACATTTTGCTCTGCATCATGTGGAGATGCTAATTTTGAAACTCGATCATCAAAGAGGTTTTCCGTCACTGCTGTGGTACATGCCACGTGGGAATAATGGGAGTTGCTGGCATAGAATCACAGAGCTGGAAGGGGCCAGGAAGGCCATTGCAGGTCACCAGAATACACCATCCCACGGTCCAGTGCATCTGGAGGGCACCACACTGGGGAAGGCTGTCCTACATCTTGGAGCACACACGGAGTTCGTGCAGGACATTGTCCATCCCACTAGACATGGTTGTTGACCCACCAAAAAAGCAAGCGAGCCAAAAACTCACAACAGTTTCCATCCATCCATCCATCCATCCATCCATCCATCCATCCATCCATCCACGCTTTGCAACAGCTGTCACTGCAGGAGAGAGTTGTACTGGCTGCACTTTTGCAGAAGGTTGCTTGCTCCATTGCTAATCTTCTTGGCTTGAAGCTAGATCTCATGATTGGCTCAGGCCTACTTTTGAAAATGCACTCTATATGTGGGTCAGAACTGGACAGTGAAGAAAGCTGAAAGGAAGAAAATGGACGCATCCAAAACATGGTGGTGCAGGAGAGCTATGCAAATAGTCTGGACTGCCAGAAAAACAAACATGCATATTCTGGATCAATCAAGCTTGAACTTTCCCTGGAAGTAAAAATGACAACATCGAGGCTTTCACGCTTTGGGCACATTATGAAAAGGAGAGACTCCCTGGAGAAGACATCTGTGCTGGGGAAAGATGAAGGCAGAAGAGGAGAAGGAAGACCAAACATGAACATTGCATTTACTGTCCAAATTTTTTTAGTTAGGAGTGGTGAAGTAGAAAAGGATCGAGGTGGCAGTGAGACGGATTGGGAAGGCAGGCAGGCAGGCAGTTAGAAGGGGCTGAAAAAGATCAAGGAGACATTGAGAATGATCGCAAAGGAATGCCGTGAAGATGCACAGGTGCAGCGAGAGGTGATCCACAACCCGTGACGTTTTTGCGGCAACCACATTTACTTTGCTCACCGTTCAAACTTAGAAGCATCGTTCAGACTGTGGAGTGATCTTATCCCGACTCTAACGTTCGCTCTTGAGATTGTTCAAAGTTGGAGTCCTTTGAACTATGAGGCACAGCTGTGTATGTTTGCCATGGAATACCTTTGGCTGGCATGAGGGGTGGGGAGGGGTATGGCACAGGTGTGGCCTTCCTGCTCTTCAGGTAGGCTTCCTGGAAGAGTTGAGTTGGCAGAGGTGGACGCAAGGGTGCTGGGCCAGTGGAACATTCGGCCTGGTCACGGAGAGTTTTGATCCAGTGCTTTCCCTCCCTGGTTCAAAATTGCCTTCAAGGTGTTTTTTCCCTGTAGAGCAGGGTGGGGAAATCGATCCTTCAGGGCATGTAGAACTCCACTTCCTCTTCCCCGCGTAAAAAGCTACTTGAGATGGTATTTATTCTCAATGCACATTGAAATAAACCTTACTGAGAGCCTTTCAGCTGTTTGAAAGTCCTTGGGAGCAGCCTTTGCAAAAATTAAAGATTTCCCTTGATGAAGAGTTTTCAAAATGTCCCTGGAACATAAGCCAATCCGGGTAGTGGTACCTTTATGCCAGGGATCCATGAGATGTGGACCCTCACCTGCCATAGGAATACCCATTGCTTCAGACTGCTAGCCAATAGTGAGAACTGGCGGCCATTGCAGTCCCATGAAAGCTTACGGCTCACAGCTTACCTTTTCCTCTGCTCTGGAGGATTTATTTTTGCAACCAGTCTTGATAGCTGGCTTTCAACCCTCCCACACAAAGAACTTCCTGCTCCTCCAAGGCAGCTTTCCTATACGAAGAACCAAACCTTCCCGTGCAACAGGAGCCGCACATTAGAGCGTGCTAAGATTTCATGCTGCTGGCCTGGAGCTAATCATGTTCTGAGAGGTCAGGAGCCCAGACCAGACTAACAAGTCACCAGCCTGGAGACCAGTCCCGCAAAATTATCCCAGAAAGTTGCCAGCAAGGAAGAATAATGCACGGTCAATTAGAGGTGCTCATAGGAGGTGTGGCAGAATAGGTGTTTGGGTTTTTTGGTGGTGGGAGTTCCCTGCTAGCTTGCATTAAAAAGGAAAACATCTTAAGGTTAAGCCTGAAAAGAAAAGGAGGGATTTCAAAACTGCAGAGGCTCTTCTCTGAGCTGTTTACATTTTCTCACGCTGATTCATAAACTTCCTGTTAAGCCAGGTCGGTCATGAAATTTCTCCATCGCTGTTCTTGCGACAGCCCTCCTGTGAGGGTTGCGAGCTCTGCCAGCACATAATTTCTGCAAAAGAGAAACTGAGAGCAAGGAGGAGGGGATTTCCTAGGGCAGAGTACAAAGCTTTTCCTTCCTATTTTTGCACACGTAGGGTCTTCAAACTAACGGGCTTCCTCATTTGCATCGCAAGCCCTTCTACAGGTTTTCTGCATTATCAGTGATCAAGTATGAACTGAAAGGACTGGATTAGCCCGAAAGTTGACACCCTTCCAAGAAGGAAAAATAACAAAAGCAGAAGTAATAATTGATACAGGGCAAGGACTTCAGGAGCCTGGAAAATCAGTATTTTGTTATACGTATATCTGATGACGTACAACTGTGCGATAAACGTGACATGTGTCAGCTGTCAAAGATTTAATGGCTGATGAAGAGCTGCTTACACTCTGCCCCACATGCGCACCCAGAGTGGGGAACCAACGCGCTGTTTCTGTGCCCATTCACACCTGGATCAACCCTCGGAACCGTGCATTGCACAGGTCGTATCAGGTCACACACGTACTTGCTCAGGTATACTGTGAACTGTTGATCAACACACAAGGAGACAACCCTGCGTTTTCAGAATAGCTAATCAAAGAACAAACACATGCTTGGCTTTTAAACTGGTAGGTGACAGGTGCTTGCAAATGAAAGATAGGTAAGCATATGGGGGGAGCGGCAGGCCCGTGACTCTGCAATCTGGTTCTGGTCCCCACACCGCCTTAGACTGGCTGCTGTAGGGCCATTCAGCCTAACCGACCTCGCAGGGCTGTTAGGAAGATAACGTGGAGAAGACAAGGATCATGCTGCCCTGGAAAGGTGGGATATGCATTTACTGAGCACATCAAGAAACAGAACTATGAAATAGTGGTGATTATGGGGAAAGGGTGGTGGCCTGGCGAAAGGGGATTCCCGCGTGTGCCGGTATTTTCCACCAGTGTATGATATGTCAGATCTTTGAGGAGTGGAGCAATTTAGCAATACAAATGAGACAGGATACGCAGCTTCCCTGTTTCATTCTCTCCTGAGCAGCCTTGTTTTCTGTTTCCTTGAGTTGGCACTTTCCCAGGAATTTCAGAGCGGGCCTACAATAGGGTTCTTGGTTACTACTTAAGGAAGTATGTGAAAGGCAGCCTTCCCTGACTGGGTGCCTTCCAGATGTGCTGGAACTACAACTCCCAGAAGCCTTCAGCCAGCATGGCTAACGCATCTGGAGGACTCCCTCTTGGAGAAGGCTGAGGTAAGGCTGGCCCATGCAATGCACTGGCTAGTTTGATCCTGTACAGGGGCTTCTGTAGGTCCCCAGGCTAACTCAGGATTGCAGTGCTGTGTGAACCCTTCTGAACATGCATCCTGGAATTGTTGGGAAGATTCCTGGCCTTCACTCTGGAAGACAGAAATTTCCAACTGTTCTCCCAAATTCTCCAGGCACTCCCAAATTCAGTGCCCTGGTGGGTTGCTCAGGGTGGCCATGTGTCCTCTTTCATTGAAAACTGACCTCTGTTGGGAGGCATCTTCTGTTGGAGATAAAGGATTGCTTTCATCAACAGCTAGCCCCTGGATAACAGGCAGGCAGATGGTCTACCTTGCCCCAGTCTTGCAGGCTAAGAAACAATGCGGCATATTTCTATTTGAATTATCATTACTTCTGTCAATAGATGGGCATTGTATGCAAATCCTTGTCTTCCTGCTTGGTGATGCATTTCCTCTTTTCTTAAGTGGCCACCCTACCTGCCTGGTCCCCATTTTATCATCCGGTTCTTAAATCCATAATAATGCGGCTACTTGAGATGTTTACACTGCTTTTGGTGGTTTGAAAGCATTCCATGAAGGTCCCTGCAGCCAAATCCCTTCCGCAAATTTGGCTTTGCCTTGCCTTAATTGCATTAAGGAAAACATGCTGGAAGAACTAAGCACAGAAAATCCCTGGGGATTGCCTTTCCCCAGGTGATCAGGCAGGCCTCTAAATTTTCTTGGCTTAGGTCTTCCAACAACAGATTAAAGCCTTTCCTAGGTTTGATACAACTTGTTTTGACCTAAATGATCATTTAAAAATGAGGTGACTTTAAAAGATCATTTTAAAAAAATCTTCCCTAAATTACTCTTTACTCTTCAAAGCCCTCACCACGCTCACAGTCACACTATTTTTTTATTATTTTTGAGGACTTGATGGCAAAGGATGAAAACAGCCCAAGAGGACTAGAAACTCTGTCATGCACAGTTCAGTTGGCTGGCCAGCCACGTAGGCTCAGCCTCTGTCTTTGATTTTTCCCATGCGCACAGCCTCACCTGAGGGCTTTTTGGGATTTTGGGGTGGAAAACTGAGCAACCAGTTAAAAAAAAGTCCAGTGGGTGCCTGCAGTTTATTTCTGATGGCTTAGTTAGTCCTTTATATAGCAACACGTTAGAAGGCTTTCCTTTGATTGCTCAATCAAAGGTGAGAGGTCCTGAATGAGGATGTAATAAACATGCCCTAAAGTATTGATTTTCTCCCTGCTCATCTCAGAATTTGAAGTATGGACAAGTTTGTTTTTCAGGTGGCTCTGCGACACACAATCCAGCATCAATGTTATGCTCAGAAGCTTACTTTCCCCTCCAAAATACTTCCACTCGCAAAGAATCAGAACCTGGGGACAGACCACTTGCAAAAAGGACGGCAGCTGTAGGCAAGGCCACAATTTTGGGTCTGCCTTTCTTGGGGATCTCTCAAAAAGAAGGGTGAGTGAACGGACCGGGGTGGGAGGGTGGGGGAATTGGCTGATGTGATGGACTTCCTCCCCCTCCTCAAAATCCCCCACTGCATAGGGAAGGCTGGCTGCACAGCTGAATTCTAGGCTGCAAAGACATGAGATTCTGCTCACACTGATTTGCCAGTAATGCCCCTCTCGCAACATGACCTTATACTGCTGTTTCTGAATATGTGTAAATATTCTGACTATTAAATCCGCCAGCGCTTCCTCTGCCTTTCACGGCATCGCACTGTGTAGACATTGTCAGCACAGAATGTTTATCTCCATGCTGTGAAAAATCCCAGCTGTTGCAAACAGCACATCAAGAGCACATGCTGTCGAAGGAGACAAGGCTGTTTTGGTTCTGGTCAGCTGACAACCTTCCTGGTTCTGTTCAGGTGGGTCAATTCTGCAGGTTTGCGCCATCAGAGCCAGTGTGGTGTCGTGGTTAAGAGCATGGGACTGGAACTCAGAGGATCTGGGTTCTAGTCCCCGCTCGGCCATGGAGCCAACTGGGTGACTTTGGGCCAGTCACAGACTCTCAGCCCAACCTACCTCACAGGGTGGTTGTTGTGGGGATAAGATGGAGGAGGAGAATGATGTAAGCTGCCTTGAGTCCTTTGAGGAAAAAGGCAGGATATAAATCGAAAAATAAATAAATAAAACAATCTCCCAGTGTCCTGAAGAAAAGTTTATGATGTGGTGGGAAATGCCAGTGTGATTGGTTGCTTTAGTTAATGGGCACATACAAAGTGCAACCAGTAGAATTGTCCCCAAGAAAAAGAGAGACCTGAGTGACATGGATTCGCTTTCACTGGGGTGTCCCGTTCCAGAATGTTGAGGGACACTCCCATGACCGAATGCCTTTTTATCCAAAAGAAATGAAATAAATCCCTTCACGCAGAAAAGTAGCATGTCAAGGGTGGAAGAGATATGTTTAAACATGGTCAGCAGTTTTACATAAAATATTACATCATCTTCACCATCGTCATGGTCTAGAACCATTCCATTTTCATTGTTAGTTTTTTGCGTGGAGATATACATTTAAATGGAGGAACATTCAGTCAATTTGAACCCACACTTGTTCATTATCTCGCAAGGCTTTGGTCCTTCAGACACAGATGGACTATATCACCCATTTGTCTCAGCCACCAAAGATGATGATGTTTGTCCATTGTTTTCGATGAGGACCTTGACTTCTAACGGGTTGTGAGCTGTCCACGGTGTGTCTGCAGGTGGCTGATAAGGCCGATACGGGCACAGAGTGTTCTGCCACATGTCGGGCAGACATGTGTGGGCACCACTGTTGCAGCGTTTGCAACTCTGGCTTTACGGAGCGCTTGCTTCTCTTGTGCTACGGTTGTCCTTCTGGCTTCAGATGTTTGGCAGCCTTGGTGGATCAGTGTGCAAAATAGTGCAAAATGATGGGACTTGTTGTTTGGCAACATTTAGGGCAGGCATGGACAGAAGGTGGATCGCCAGATGTTTTGGACTTCGACTCCCAAAAGCCCCTGCTCGTCTGGCCAATGATGGTCAGATCTACTTTCTGCCTGCTGCTGATCTAGATTGTCTCAGATTCCCCAGTCTTGTCATAGCACATGCTTAGCATGCCAAGGGCGCAAGGTTTGGGCACGTCCAGTTCCAAAGAATATACGGAGCAGGGCTGGAAACATTTCCTGCCTGAAACGTTAGAGAGCCAGTGGGCCATCCTGGGCTAGCTGCACTGACCAAGACTGATTCACTGCAAGGCAGCTGCTTATGCTCATATAAACGGCACACATTTGGCATTAAAGCACAGATTTAATGTCACAGTGTGAATAAGCAGTGCACTGGCACAGAGCACCTTTTCACTCCTTCCTTCACATAGGCAAGTAAACAAGACAGGAAGGCATATAGCGCTGTGTCACAATCAGAAGTTGGGCTAGGGTCCAGTGCCGCCAAAGAAGCCAGGATTGTAAACCAGTTTGAAACCAAGTTAGTTTGTTGTTGGCTTATCCTGTATGGAAATCCTGGCTTGTTTGGGCACACTTAGCCATCACACCTCAGGTTCAGATCTGGTGGGAAGGTATCCCTTCCTAGCATAAAGGAAAGGAAAAAAGGGAGGGAAGGAAGAAAGGAAGGAAGGGAGGAAGGGAGGAAAAAGGGATGCTTGTGCTGCCATGTTGCTCATTTGCAATGCGGTTTATCAAGCCCTAAATGCTGACCACATAACATTATGCCTTCACACAGCATTAGCTATTGAAACTAGCATGCATCATTCGCATTAGTTGCAAGCCAATGAATTCGTGCAGCTTGATTTAATATGGAAATGTGACTATTTAGCATATTTTTCTGTGTAGTATGACAGGTATATTTTGCTTCCTCTTTCCCTGTTATTATATGCTATAATTGGCAACAAGGAAAGACTACCTGTCATGTAAAGTTATCAGATCCTAAATTAATGTTGTGAGAACCTTTCTTACTCCATAAATTTTCATTGCGCTTGCTGGAATTCAGCTAGTCCTGTTTTGTCCTGGCACGAGGTCTAGTATGCTTCCGGTTCCAAATTCTGAATGGTTAAGAGTAAAAACATTGTCTCAGTTTTGGACAGGGATTTATAAGCATGATCTAATCCCAAAATATGGAGAGTCTGGAACCTACAGGGTTTCAAGACTGAATTTTTCTCTCCTACAGTGAGTCACTTTTATATGAAGGTAGTTGCTGAGACATTAAAAGCATCAGGACTCCTTCACTTCAGCACTTTTGATAGATACAAAAATAGAAATAAATACTAATACCGAAACAATACCAATACTCATACAGTAACAGTGAATCCACACAGCAGTCCTCACTCTCCCTCACTCTCCTCTGTAAATCTCTTGGGCTCAAAACCTAGGGAAGTAAAGGATTGTGTCCATGGAACTGGGGACTTTGTACCGGGGCAGAAGCACAGCCAAGGTGTTTTCTGCCTTGCAACTGCATAAGGGAGCAGCACCTCATTTATGGAAGCGCCAGTGGCTGTGTGACACCCACACCAGCCACCCCCGACTGCATTTCAGACCTATCTGCCTAAGGAGCAACCTGAACACCTCACACCAAAGAAAGGAGCAAGCACCATCCCTTGCTGGGAGAGCTGACATTTGCTTGTCCCGGTGTGTCCGCAGGCCATCATCAATCGACACAGCAAAATTTCTCCCTTCCATTTGGTGGTCATTTGGGTAGCCGTAACAACTTTTTATGATTTGGATTAAGGAAAAACAGGATTATTTTAAAGAGGTGACCTATAAAGGCATCCAGGCAACCTGTAATAAGGGTGACAGCCTCTCCCAGTCAAGGTGACTTAGTGAGTCCACACACACCTCTCCACTGCTCCACTTACCTGTCACCTCTGCTAGTCACCTTACTAATCCTCAGTAACGCTGCCTGAGCTGTTCATTGTTTTCACTTGTAATTGCTAATAAAATTCCAGGAAAGTTTCTCCAGCATCGTTTGAAGATCATGGGGTTAGTCCCATGAGTAACTTTCTCAGCTCGGGAAGCTTCTGCCCCCCAGAAATTCCCATTCCCTTCCACCTAGGACATTGCAAAGTGCCTCAAATAATTTAGACATGTTAACACATTCTGAAAGAATAATGAGCAATCCCAACAGAGTCAGATACTCACGGCTGTTGGGCAACAGGTTCCTGAGTGATCTTGCTGATATAGTTGGCTGGGACGTAGCCCATGTTCGGGTCCCCGGAGAGCCGTCTCGCCAAGACGTACCCTCCATCTTCTTTGAGGATACAAAGTTTGTCCCCCTTGTTGACACTCAGTTCATCGGCACTCCTGGCTGTGAAGTCGCACAGCACACCGAAGAGGGAGAACGTGGGCTCTGTAGGATCCGGGTCCAGGGTGGGATGGAGAGACCCAGGATCTGACTCCCAGAACTCCAGCGAGTGGCTATTTGGACTTCCGTTGGGCAGACACTTGTTCCAGAAGGTATTGAAGAAGGTCAGGTGTTTCCTAATGTGGTCCATTCCTTTCTTCCGTCGTCACTGAGGATTTCTCCAGCAGGACCCGGTGCTGCTATTCCAAAGGGCTTCTTGAAGAAAAGGAGGAACATAGCAGATGCATCGTGGCTGCGCTTTTCATCTGTTCTGCTAATGCATGGTGCTCCCCCTCCCCAAACCAAGCCCGGAAACACGAGATGCTGTCTTCTCCCCGCTGAGGTACCCGAGTGCAGGAGCCGGCTACCAGGAACTCCCAAGTGCCCAAAGGGTGACTGGATGATCTGGTAGAACTCGTTTTCTGCAGACTGAATAGGCTGCCGTGGAGGAAGCCAGATTGGCTCCTGTTCTGAGCTGCGCCCCAAATTAGCTCTTGCTTCCACTCTGTTGCCTAAAGTGCACGTGAATTCGCTTCTCTTTGGCGTGCTGCCACAGGTGTCGTTTGCAGTGTGTGTAAAACGCACTTGTTAAAAAGCAGTATTGGGGCTGGAGCGGGGCGGGGGGGCAACTGGCCCTTTTTGGCTTAAAGCATAACACTTTATACTTTGAAGGGTGTGAGCCACACGCTAGCCTTTGTTTCCCCAGTGTACCCTATCGTTTCCCCCCGTAAGGGCCGGAATTGGTGCCATGGACTGACGTTTACCATTTTGTAAATGGGGAGAAATAAATTGCTAACGAACCAGCTGCATGAGTAGAGATTGCCTCCCCTGCCAGGCCCGTGCTTGCATGCAACTAAGGGAAAAGTTCCTTAGGCAGTGTCTTGTCACACATGTTTACTCAGAAGTCTGTCAGAGCGGCTTACTGGGTGTGCATCAACACAACTTTAACAGCAGGCAGAGTTGTGGGAGTCCTTCGCAGTTTATTTCCAGGATCATGCCCTGTGGCACTGGTGGGGAACTGTTGGGGATTACCTGAGTGGGGCCAGCTGGAGCCAGGGGTCAGACTAGATGGCCCGGGAGACCCCTTCTGACCTGTTCTTTTTCTGTGTTTGGGGTACTGGAGACTGGAGGACTGGAGGCTGTTCGAGGCTGCAGTGTTGACTGGAGAGCCATGGGCCCGCTCTTCTGACAGGGACCTGAGCTTTCCTGGCTAGAGAGAAACTGCGTGGGAACGCGTTCTTTGCTGGGAAGACAAGCAAAGGAGGTGAACTGGCTCGCTCTGCCTCGGTTTTCTGTAGCAGTGAGAATCCCAGGCAACACGACAAGGCTTTGCCTCTTCGCCATGTGTGGTCTTTCCTGTTTTTCCATAAAAACACCTGGAAAAATGGGGAGCATTCACAGCTGGCTTCATAAGCAGGGGGATTTCTGTTGCTACTTCCAGTCCCCAGTCAGATAGACTGGCCCCCTTCCTCCACTAACTGCCAGGGAAGACGGCCCATTTCATGTCATGTATTGCTTTTCTGTGCCATCTTTGGGCCGCTTACTAAGTCTTATGCATGTAAACCCAATTAAAATAATCTGCACACAACTAAAATCATCTTTAAAGTATTGACAGGACCTGATTGAAAAGTCATTGTGTGCTGGCAGAGACTTAAGAAGCTCTTAGCCCATTGCTGAAAGGATGACAATCTTGGCACCAGGCGGGTCTCACTGGGGAGATCATTCCATGGTGGTGGTGGTGGGGCTACCACGGAGAAGGCCCTCTCCAACACGGCTGCCCCCAAGAGTCCTGAGAAGAAGCACCCGGAGGAAGATGAGGAGGCTGGCTGTCGGATCCAAAGGCCGGATCCAGTTCCCTTGGGTGGCATGATGTTGAAGGGCGCCCCAGTTTCCTCTGCAAGCGCCTGCAGGACCAGAGTCTGTCCTGCAGCTGCTTGACTCAGGCTGTTGTAAACCGTCCCAAGACTTCTGTGATGGGGCGGTATGGAAAAGTTTTAAATCAATCAATCAATCTCAGGATTGGAGCCTGAGCAATTGCGGAGCACAGTTGGAAGCCTGGGAAGGGCCCATAAAGGCCAGGCAAAGACCTTCCTTTTCAAAAAACATTGTAATAATTAATGCCACTCAACCTTCTGTTTTGTATTTTTATCCGTATTTGGTTAACATTGCATTTTTATTATGTTGTACTTAGTTTTTATTGTGTTTTATCTCATGCCTGCGAGCCTCCCGGAGGCGCCGTGGTACAACTGGGCAGCACACTAGTGTTATGAATGCATGAAAGGCACCCTTGTGCTGCTCAGCTTTGCCCACCAACTGGAGCATCTGCGGAGGCGGCCTCGTTCCCGTGGGTCTGCTTCCTACTTTGCTTGTGCCACAACTCCTGCCTGCTCCCACTTTCGGTATGACCAACCTGCCGGGCCAGGTACCTGTTCCACGTCCTGACTGCCCTTGCCCTGCCCGCAGCCCCCTGGCCCTGCTGAGCTGGCCTCCGCTGGCCTGGCCTGGCCTGGCCTTTGCCACTGGCCCATACGCATCTCACAAAGCCTCATCCCTTTCTTGCACGCGGATCCCAGCACCCCAGCAGCAGCCGCCTGCTCCCCTCGCCCGTGAGGCCAACGGTTTCCTGACAGGGCTGGGACAACGCCCTCCGGCCCTTGCAGACTCCCCCTCGTGCTCGTGCTCGGCCTGGCCTTTGCAGGCCCCGCCAGGAGGAGGTCTGCAAACACACGTGGCGCAAAGGCTGCACAACTGGCAACCTTCTGCATGAGGAACAGCAGCAGGAATGCCCTTGTGGGTGGTGCAGAAGGGCACGGCTGCTTGGGTCGCGTGCGAGGGTCGGATCCTGCTGAGCACCGCTGGAGGCGCTCGCCAGGAACTTGGAACACGGCTGTGACCCAGGAGACTGGAGTCCGGGGAGCCAAGCTCAGGGAATCCTATGGACTTGCACGCACCCCCCCAATGGATCCCTCGCAGATTCTCCGTGCAGGTAACGACATGCTGGGTGAGGCGCTCCATCAGGTACTGCGGCCCACGAAGGAAGCCTGACCAGGTCCGCCGAGAAACCACCTTGCGCCACCCCAGCCCGATGGACCAGCGGCGCTTCACCTCTGCTCCAGGCATAAACCGAACGGCTGCCTTGTGCGATAACGTGGTGATGTTCACCAGAAGCACACAGGACAAAGCCAAGCGCTCGTGTGTTCAAAGTTTTATTTTTAACAACGCCGAAACCCAACATGGAAGGCTCTTCCCATGCACCACCTCCCGCCATGCCCTCCTCGGCGGCACCACTTTTGACACCGAATTGAAGTTTGCCACTGCGTGTCTAAGCAGCCAACCAGGTGCTGCACGGCCAAGCCAGGCGAGGGACATGGATGAATATTTCTGCTCGAGAGACTGGCCCGAGCAAAACCCCAAAATCGCCCTCCCACGAAGAATGTTGTGTACTGCAAGAATTATGCGCAGAGGATTGCCCAGCGGTTTGGCCCATGTGGAGAGAGAGGAAAGCTCCCATGGATGCACCCACAGGGCCTTCATCCATAGAGTCCAAGAGGGCTCACTCTGCCAGGCATCCCTGACTCTCCTGGGTTTCCGACAGGGCTGCCTTGTCTGGCCCTACCTGTGGAAGGTGGGGATCGGACACGAGGACTTCTGCAGAGGTTCCCCCGCAAGATGTTCCCTGGTGAGGCACAGGAGGGCCCCAGGCGGCCCCTCCTGGGCCCCTCGGGCAGCAGTTTCCTGCAATCTTTTGTAGTCGGCATCCAACTCCACAGCACCCCAACACACAGCATTCCCAGTGCAAGGATGCTTGTGCTTCTTGGAGTGCCAAGGACCCCGTTTGCTCAGGGCAGTGCCGCTAGCCCCCTCCCCTGCACCCGTGCTCATCAGCTCCAGCCAGCATGGACCTTGGGAGCTGCGGCCCAAAGCATCTGAAAGGCACCACATTGCAAAAAGCTCTGCTGCCGCTCCCAGCCAGTTGCAGGCAAGAGCGTAAGTGGGAAAGTACGCCGGATCATGGGGTTTTGCCCCTCGGTTTATTGCTGCAATTTCAGCCAGGGCTAAAAGCGGGTGTATCTTCACTCTTCCAGGGGTAAGATGTGCTGTGGAGCTTTCCTCCCCCCATCTCTTTCTTCTCAGATTGTGAGCACTTCTGCTAGGGAAGGCAGGCCTTTTTGCAAGCAGGCCTTTTTGCAAGGAAGCCAAGAAGAATCCTATGCATACCACTGTCAAATTATATTAGGTGTGAGAGCAACAAGCGGCAGAAGCCTGCAAGAGAGGAAGAGTGCAAGCATCTCTCTCCTCGCACACCCAAGCGCTTGAAGACTCTGAGATGAGGACTGCTCCCACACGAGGTCTTTTACTGCTGCAATTCTGTAATTTAATTCTGTAAATTAGCTACAAGCCAAACTAGAACAGTGGTTCCACACGACATGTGTAAAAATGCCATATTATCCAACAATGTCCATTCCCAGTCCAAAAGGTAAGACCTTTCCATAAAGTTTACTCTGAACTAAATCTTGTTCCACAAGGTCCACTGCAAATTTAATTAGTAGGCTCCTTCTGTTTGCCTCATTACTGCTTCTTGTTTAAATTGGCAATCATATTGTTGATGAGTAACTTCAATTACTCCCTAGATGAGTTCCTATTACCTTTAAGGTGTATGTTACCAATTTCCTGTATTTTTTTCCATTTCATAAATGGCAAAATATTTATTTATTTATTTATTTAGAAGGCTTCTATGCTGCCCCATTCGCCAAAGCCTCGGGCCATTTATTCAGCAGGAAGCAGGAGCAGGGGCAGCATGGGGGAAGCCACTAATTAAAGCTACAGTGGTCCACAGTCCACAATTGACAGGTTGGCATTGCTGTGGCATTTATCACTGGAATCCACTGGGTTTCCAACAGTATTCCCTGGATTCTTCTTAAAGAGTGAGTGAATGAAGTGTGACAATTCATGACTAATTTAATAGTTTGAAGGAAAGGAGATGCTTACAGATTGATCCTCTGACTTGAGTGCTTACAACTGGTGAAACATCTGACCTGGCTAATAGTTGAATGGAGCCTAATGAATGGGAAATTGCCAACACTTTGGTTGCAGCAAACAGATCATGATCTATGCATGGCTTCTCGGTAGCCCTGTTTTTCCAGAAAAATTCCACATAAAAGGCAAAAGAAGAAAAGAAAATCCCTTTAGTATTGAGTATTTACTTGTGACACTTGAACTGTAGGAAGAGGAACATGGTGGGGAAGTGCAGAGCATGCCGAAGGGGAGAAAGAGACAATCAGTCGCCCCAAGGGTATTACTATGTACTCTTGAAATTCCCTCGTTTCAGGAGCCAAAGGCAACCTGTACCCAAGAAAAATGACATGGGCCATTATCAACGAGCAAAGGACGTAGTGTAGCACCATTGTTTTATTCTTTAAAAAGCACCTCAAAGTAGAAAAAGCACCACAGATCAGACTCAAAACCGGCGTGTGCATTTCTGGCCTGAACTGTTGAACCAAACACTGGCTGGAGCACCAAAGTACTGATGGACAGATACAGTTAAAGTTGTACCATTTGCAATCTGCGGATTGCCAGGCACCTTTCATTCTTTCACCCATTCATCGAAGAGATCCACTCGCCTCTAGCTTCCAGAACATGCTTATGCAAATCCTCCCATGCGCATTTTCATGTTTTAGCCTAAGGATGACAGGACCTTTTAAATATATGTTTGCATTTGTTTACAACAACTTATGAAAAGTAAAAAAAATCTTTAAATCCACAGAATCTGTGCAACTCAGAAAAATCTAGTTCACTGCAGAATCCATGGGACACAGTCCTAAAATCATTCGACTCCTTCCTGGATTCCACCAACATCCCTACTTCAGATACAGACCCATGGAATTATCTCCGGGCCAACTTGGAACACACATTCTTTTGAGGCACTATGATCAGCGCTGGTTGTGCCTTCTCCCCAGATGCCAAAGAAACTAATTTTCAGGGGTGCTTAGAGAGTCCTAGCCATCTTGTAGAACTACAGTTCCCAGGGTTCCTTGTGGTACACCACAACTGGTCTAATACTGTAGTGTAAGCATCAGCTTTGCATGAACCTGCACATGTACGAACTCTCAGGTCATTAGTGTGGTAAGAAGGTGGCTTGTTGCTGCAGAAATGGGAACAACTTGGCATGAAAAAACCCCTCTCCTTGCTTCCGAGTGCTTTCTGTCTCCTGATCCTCTCTCATCTGTTAGCAGGCCATGACTGGATGGTCCAAAAAGCACTAGAGAGAAGCTTCTTTAACTGGACCTTGTTTTTTACCCGGTGGCTTGCTCTGGCTGGCATTGTCTTCTCTGCATCCGTATAATAAAATCTGCTCCAAATGAAGATGTTTGGCAATGTCTCTCAAGGAAAGAGCAGAAGGAGCTGGAGGAACACAGCCCCAGAGAGAAGCAAGGTCACTTCTAGCACAAGGTAGGGCAGAGAGGTTCCACCCAGCCAGGTGCTCGGTTCCAAAGGCCGCCACAGCTTCAGGTGGACTGACAAGGCAGCCCCAGGGAATGTGCAGTCACGCTCAATTTCCGGCCGTGTTCTTCAGCTCAGGCAAATGCTCACCAGGTATGACAGGGGCCGTTTCCAACAGCTCTGCCCTTCCTCCTCGTGTGCCGCGGCTCGCTAATTTTTGCACGCCTGTCAGTCATTCCCTCGAATCGATTGCTTGGCGACACGGACGTTCTGTTGACGCACCAGGTGTTGGCTTTGCTTGAGCCTTGCGGGGTGGGGGGGAGTCGGCTTCCGGGGATGGTGTCTCCCAACAGTGTCTGCACAAGGGGGAGCTGGGCCAGGGTGGTTTGCAAAAATGGAAAGAAGGCCCACGGGAGGGAAACTTTATTCTAAAGCAGCACCCACCATTCCTGGGCGAGTGCAGCGGGCGCGAAGTGCTGTGCCAGGAAAGGCCCCTCCGGTGGAGCCGAAGGCAGGGCAGGGGGATGTCTGAGTGAGTTGCTCCTTGATGAGGCGAGAGGAAAGCTAGGACTCCGAGAGGTTTGTGGTCTATCAGTGCAGTGAACGAGGAGCCTGGAGAATCCCAGTGGCCTTGGGAAGGCCAGTGCGGGGTTTGATGGAGCCCCAGCTGTGATGCAGGGTTTGGGGGGTGGGAAACAGTGAGTGGAACAGCCTGAAGATGGAAAAAAGAACATGTGCATTACAAATCCAAGTAGGGACGATTTATTCAGACCAGGTACTGCAAAGCATGCAAGGTGGTCAAACCAGTCAGTCCTAGAGGAGATCAACCCTGACTGCTCTTTAGAAGGCCAGATACTGAGGATGAAACTCAAATACTTTGGTCACCTAATGAGAAGGAAGGACTCCCTGGAGAAGAGCCTAATGCTGGGAACAATTGATGGCAGAAGAAGGAGGGGACGGCAGAGGATGAGGGGGCTGGATGGAGTCACTAGGGTGGTCAGTGTGGGCTTGGGTGGACTCCAGGGATGGTGGAGGACAGGAAGGCCTGGAGGAACGTTGTCCATGGGGTCGCGATGGGTCAGGCACGACTTTGCGACTAAACAACAAAGTGCAAAGCAGTCTGGCCATAGCGTAAAGGTTTAGAACATGGGTCCTCAAACTACAGCCTGGGGGCCGGATCCGGCCTACCATGCCCATTTACCTGGCCCACCTCAGAGGTTTTCAATGCGCCATGTGTGCACCCGCCGCCGTCCGCCTTACCCCCGTGAGGGGAGGTGGTGGCTTGCTCGCGTTTAGATCGTTTTAGACTTGCTCAGGGAAAACGATCTCCAAGTGAGCAAGCCGCTGCCTCGCCTCGCCTCGCTCCGCGCACCTGCCTGCGCGCCCTGCTCCCTGCCCCGGCACGTGCGCGCTCCCACGCCAGGTCGCACAACCCGCCAGCACCACCTTTCCAGCCCACGCCCAGCAGCGGCACCTTTCAACTGGCCCCCTGGTGAAAAAGTTTGAGGACCCCTAGCTTAGAAGAGTAAAAAGCATGCATATCCCAGTCACAGTGACGCTGGCAAGCGGAAATGTGCTTTTGGGGAAGGCCTAGAGACATGCAGAAGACTGAAATGCAAAACTTACAACACTTACATGTGGGCAAACTTTCTGGAAACTGGAAGCATCCCGGCAGATTAAATATTCTTAATAATTTTAATGCATGGTTTTGCTACATCATGACAGCCTTCCCCAACCGGGTGTCTTGCAGATGTGTTGGACTACAATTCCCAGTATCCTCTAGCCAGCCAAACCAGGAGTCATCATTGTGAGTTATTTAGGGCCAGCCCGTCATGCTGGTGCTGTCTGGGATCTAGTCCTTACTCAGTCACTGGATCACTCTGGGCCAGTCTCAGCCTAACCTGCCTCACAGGGTTATTGTTGCTGTGAGGCGAAAATGGAGAGGAAGAGGAGGATTTTGGGGGCTGCTTTGGGTTCCTTGCAAGAAAAGGAAGTGGGATATAAATGTATAAACCAACAATGTCTTGCTGAGCGGTTGGGTGATCTGCTTTTAGCTCTGTCATTAAAGCAGCAGACGATTTACCATTTTCTTGGAAGAGGTGAACATTCAGGAAAAGGGGAGGAGTACGTAAGAGGAGTCCTGTAGGATTAGGCGAAGGGCTCACCCAGCCCGCACACCTGGCTGCTACTACCAACAATCGGGAGTTCTCACAGGGCGGGCGCGAAGCCAAGCGACACACTTGTGCCGGCCGCAAGTTGCACCCAGAGACGCTTGGTGCTTCCGAATTGCGAGATTCCACAGAGCAGTCTTGACTTGCAGCTTCCAGAGACCAATCCTCCCTGAGTTCATGTGATCGCGCCTCTCCAAAGCCTTGCACAGCACCTGCCATCACTGCAGAATCACAGCCCATTCCAAGCGTTAATCATGCGTTACAACTGAAAGTAGTCGTTCCACGCTCCTGAGTCATCGCCGACTCATGGCGACCCAGTGAATGAACGGCGTGCCCTTGACAATCCTGCTCCGCTCCGGTAATTTCAGGGCTGTGGCATCCTTCATGGAGTCCATCCATCCCTTATTTGGCCTTTCTTTTCTTCTACTGCCTTCGACTTTCCCTAGTACAATGGTCTTCCTCTCCAGGGAGCTTTGCCTTCTCACGACATGCCCGAAGTAGCATGTCTGTTTTGTTCTTTTTGCTTCCAAGGAAAGCTCTGGCTTCGCTTGATCCAGGATCCACTTCTTTGTCTTTCTGGCAGCCCAGGATATCCACAAAGCTCTCCTCCAGAACCAGGTTTTGAACACATCTATTCCTGTTGGTTTTTACACTCACACACAGCGATCAGAAATACAATAACGTGGAGGCTTGTGGCCTTGGTTTCCAGTGAGACATCCTGACGCTTCAAATATTATCTTGCATTGTTTTCACCCACAAAACTCCATGACTCCTGTCATCATTGCATTTCTTCCCTGACTTTTCTCGTCTTACAAGGAACCCAAGACAGCTCGCAGAAACAGCCCTTCTCCAGTCTGTCCTCACAACAACCCTGTGAGATAGGTTAGGCTGAGGGTCTGTGCCTGGCCCAGAGCCCCCCTGTGCTTTGAGGCCGACTGGGGGCCAGAACCCAGGTCTCCGGCGCTCCACCTGCTACGCCACCGTGGCTCTCAGCTTGGGGTGTGTGCGTGGAAAGGCAGGGGGGATCCCACGCCATCCCTCTTGCACCCTGGACTCACATGAGCACCGTGGAGCACAGGTCATCTCTCCCTCCACTTTGCTCCACTGTTCTGCTGCCGGCCAGGCCTGGCGCCGATGCTCCTCCGATGCTTTCGCAGCCGCCCTTCCAAGCCACTGACCTGGAGCAACAGCAACCAAGGGGAAGGTTCCTCCATTAGTGCTGCATTTAAAGGTGGGGCATGAGAGGGCAGCCTTCCTCGGCCTGGTGCCCCCCAGAGGTGTTAGGACTGCAACAACCCCAATGACCATGGTAGCTGGGAATGACGGGAGTTGCAGTCTAAGCCATTTGGGGGGCAGTAGATGGGAGAAGGCTAGTGCTTTCCCCCTCTAGAACACAGAACATCAATTTCGTTGCCTTTTGAGGGGGCAGGTCAGGGCTGTCTTCCACCGCAGGGCATCCAGTTAGTCTGTTGGGACCCTCTAGTTGTGAAACAGGTCTTAAGATTTTCAACAAGTCATACTATTTTTGTTTGTTTGTTTAACATTTGGTTTCAAATTTTGCACTGTACGCTTTTAATGATGTTTTAATATGGTGTATTTCATATCGTATTTTTAATGTGCTGTTGGAAACTGCCCAGAGCGCTTCAGCCATTGGATCGGCATAACAATTAAACAAATATTTATGTGGATGTTTTCGTGTACGTTTGTCCCAACAAACCACAGTGCCAATTGTGGAGTTCGGCACAGAACCCTTTCCTAGCTTGCTTACTGGCTCAAGAGCGGTGAATTTGATCAATTTGCATCAAATATATGGGCAAATGTTTCACGTATCCCTAAAGACTGGGGGTGGGGGGAGTACAGTGCAGAAGGCCCCTAGTGCAGAAGACCCCACTCTGAGACCCACCCTTTTTAAAGGCAAGGGTGAGTTCCAAGAGGCCCAGGCGCTCTCGTGGACCGGGGCTTGGGGAACACTATAAACCTTTCCTCCCAGACGCAAGGTCTACCTGTTTCCGAAGAGAGGAGATGGTTTTCTCAAGTTCATCTACTAAAGCCCCGAGATCCTCTTCTGGGGGGTGGTTCTGAGCCGGTCCCTCCATCCTGTAAAAGGAGAGACAGCGAGACACGGGAGTTCCTCTGAGGGGGCTTCCCAGGAGCAGCACCTCTCCGGCTGCAAGCAGGCCAAACAAGGCAGCGCATGCCTAGAACAGCTTTGCACGCGCATTGCCGTGCTGTTAGTGAGAAAGTTTGCTCTGCTTTGCTGGCTCATCCCAAGCATAAGGTGCAAAAAACAGTGCAAACATCTCCTCCTTTTGCAAGTGCTTTGTGTGCATTTGTAACAGAATAAAGGGAGTGGGGCAGCTTCAGCTGTCAGGGGTAACGAGAAAAAGAACACAGAGAGCGGACAGGAGTGCCTTTTTCGGTAGACAGGCAGGGTACAAATGAAATAAATAAATACATGTGCCGCACCGGGGCTTGTCTCTGGAAGGGTTTTCTTCCGGGTAGCTGAAGCCAGAAGACCTCCTGCTTCGGAACTGTTGCGAGAGAGCCCGGAACTGGCCCTTTGTCCTGCAATCTGGGGGAAGAGGAAGGGATATTTTGAGGGTCGGGGTGGGTTTCGGGCCTCAAAATGCACCCCCACCCCCCAGTTATCATATTGGCTTCCATGTTGCGCCTTCTCTGAATGGTGGGAGAGACGGGGCAGCGTTTTCAGTGTGCGTTTCGCACGAGAGAGGCAAGTTGGCGCTGTGGGCTTCCTGCCTCGCTCCAGTAACCCATTCGCAGTTGCCCCAGTTGAACGGGCACAAGGGCTGCAGGAAGAGGGAAGGAAGTGTGCAGACAGGTTGTGGCGGGCGTGACACGTCCCATGCTGCTGCGAACCTGAGCCAGATCCCCGCTGGGGACGCTGGACTAGGCTCCTCGCGCACACACTCGAGGGCAAAGTACACGCTGCACGGCAGCCCCCCAACGGTCACAGCAGCTCTTTACCGCCCCTTCTGCACTGCAACAGGCCGCCAGATTGGGCACATCACAGGGGAGAAAGGGTGCTTAACCCTTCCACTGCCAGCCAGTGACCCCATCCCCCGGTCTCCTCACTTCCCCCTCCCACCAGCGTGTTTGACTTGCACAACGGGGAGGGAAGGCAGGTGGGGGAAAAGTTCAGCCCGCTTTCTGCCTGCCACTCCCGCCCTGCCATGCAAGCTTCCAACTGTCCCCAAAGGATGCCGTGCATTGAGACATGTCCCTCACTAATGACAGTCATATCAATAGCTAAAGGGAGAGCCCTGGTGAGTAACAGGAGAGTAGAAAGGCAAGAGGTTGCAACAGAGAGAAATAAGAGGGGGCAGCAGAACTACTCATTCCGATGGCTTCATTTTTCCTCTTCCCTCCCCTTGCCTTTTTCCTCGTCTCTCGTGTCTTTTTAGATGCAAGCCAGTTGACAGGACCATCTTAGTGATTTGCATTCTTAGCCATGACACACACTGGTTCTTCTGCTACATGTCCTCTAGGTGGCACTGTGGTTTAATGGAAAAGTGCAAATACACCAGAGGAAATTGTACTTTCTTGTGCGTTCACAATGAAATGCCTCGTGTTTCCTGCTGAAAGTTCTGGCTAGATGCAAAAGTGGGTCCCTACACTATCTAAAGAGCCAGGAGGAGGAAACGACAGGCGCGCAAAGAATGCCCTGTGTGAAAAAGCTGAACGTCATCTGTGAATAAGAAGGGCCAGCGCCACAATAAAAGCGTCATGTGGAGGTACCGCATCCTCCTGAGCCAGCAGGTTGCCTGCTGCACCAGCTTCGTGCTCCCGCAGCCCCCCAGCGGATCCGCCCTTGTCGCTTTTACCTTCGCAGCAATCTTGCCACATGCGCAGATCCACTTCTGGGATCTCGTCGCAGCTGACCATGCCCTGGGGGTAGGAGGCCACCCGGAAGACATCCCGCTGGAGCTGCCGGATGTGGTCACTGTTGTCGCAGATGATGCGGGCGAGGGACGCCTGCCTGATCTGCGTGAGCTGGGCTGGGGAGAACACACCTGGGTTCTCATACCAGAACCTGAGGGAGAAACGGTACCCAGAGCATCACCAGCCGGCCCACGGACCCAGGCCAGGCCGGGGAGCCCAGCCCCTGCACCAGGCAGATCTGCACCACGTTCCACAGGCACAGGGTCTGCGTGATCCCTGCAGCTGGCGGCCACGTGATAACTGAGGGCTGCGTGCACGAGCGATCCCAGGTTGGTCAGTGCAGAGCAGCCTTCTCCCACCTGCAAGATGCTGGCTGGGGATGCTGGGTGTCGTACCTGCAGAGTGCAGGTTGGCACAGGCAGGGCAGCTCATATTCCCCCAAGGTCGACTGAGATGGTTCTGCAGGGGAGACGGTCCAGCGACTCAAGAACAGCAGAGTCAGCCGGGAGCGAGGAATAACTGAGTGATGCACATTTGGGGGGGTGTTCCCCAAAAAGTTGATAGAGGTGCGTGTGCAGGGGGGCTATCATGCTGAGGAGGGGGTTGTCTCTCTGGCTCCCTGTAACACAGTTATTCTTCTGTCTCTCCCAATGGAATGCCCCCCCCCCACCCCAGACCTTTCCCAGATCGGAATCCAGACTCTGGATTTTTAAAAAGGCCATCTTCCAACTGGCCCATTTAAAAGCAGTGGTTTGGCATGAAGGATAAAGGGAGAAATAGAGCATCTTCTTAGGCGAACCCAAAGTGTTTTTGAAATAGATCCTTGGACTCCAGCTTTAAAACCCATTCACATTTACAGCCTTGAAGAAGAAGCAGTTCTGTAAGGTAGTAAATAGGCTTGAACCAGAGTGTTACGCGTAGGTCTAACCTTGCCTTCCCCACCCCAGTGCCCCGAATAGGTTCAGCTCCCATCAGCCTCAGCCGCATGGCCAGTGCGATGTGAAAAGCCTCGATTCTGTTGGCTTACCTGTCTCCATCCCGAAGTCTTCTAAACTGGGTTGTCAATAAGCACATGAGCGTCGGCCCCACCCTGGTCCCGGGAACAAGATCTTCCACCATCAGAGCAGGGAAGAGGTCGATATTCTTCGTAATTCCATACAAACTGCAAGAAGTGGGCAGAAGAACTCAGCTGGGGAAGCAAACGATGTCTGGTTCAATCTATCTAGCAGCAGATGGCTTTGACCTGCCTTTAATCTTCCTCTTTATTGTGTGTGTTAAGGTTTTACTTTATTTGTTTATTGTAGTTTTGTTTGCTTTGTTTCATATACCTTCTTATCATAGCATAGTAGAGTTGGAAGGGGCCGTGAAGGCCATCGAGTCCAACACCTGCTGGTGCAGGACACCAAGCCACACCATCCCACTCAGGTGGCTGCCCAGTTTCCTCTTGAAAGTCTCCAGTGTGGGAGAGCCACCACCTCTCCAGGCAGCTGGCCCCACTGTCGCATTGCTCTGACAGTGAGGAAGCTTTTCCTGATGTCCAGCCTGAATCTGGGTTGTCACAACTTGAACTGATTATTCTGCATTCTACACTCTTCTGGCACCAGCAGAAGAGATCTTGTCCTTCCTCTTTGTGACAGCCTTTGAGGTACTCATAGAGGGATACCATGTCCCCCCTCAGTCTCCTCTTCTCAATGCTGAACATGCCCAGTTCTCTCAGTCTTTCCTCATGCATTTGTTTGCCATGAAAATAAAATTAAACAAACAAACAAAAAATGGTTTTACATTGTTGTCTACCACAAACAATACACTTCCCATAGAATGGTGGTTGTCGTTACTAATTTTATTTCTATACTGCCCAATAGGTGGAGCTCTCTGGGAGGATTACAACAACTCATAAGGTGCAAGAAAATATTAAAAATGCAGAGAATAAAGTTATTAAAATTCAAAAAGCAAATCTCTGTGATGGGCGATCCCCAGAAAGGAATGCACAGCATCCTTGCCAAGTTCTGAGCTCCACAACTCTTTGAGGGAAGCTGTGTCAGAATCAAAGCAGACAAGGTACCCTTGGCAGGCCATGCGAGGATCCCCCCTTTAATCAGGAATGGGGAGCTCCGCTTTGGACTGGCACAGCAGTGCAGAATTAACAGGCGTTCAAGTCTTCCTCCACATCATTTTCTCCAATGTCCATTCTTCCTCCCAAGCCCCAAAGCTGCCGTCTGCTCCACTGGGGGAAGAAATAAACTCCGCCCCCGTTCCCCCCACTGTGGGGCTCCTGGCAGAGGGAGATTCAGAGGAGGAAAAGGAGGAAAAAGAGGGATGCTTCAGCTCAGCTGCTCTGATCAGAGCCGGACTCTCCCTGACAGCTGTTCTAAAATGCCACACCTGCCCTGGTTCTCCTCGTGTGTAAAGCCAGTATGTGTCCACAGTGGGGGATGCCACACATGCTTCAAGGTGCGTGCAGCGCTGAACCCATGGAGGTCTGGCTGAGCAGCGAAGTGGGAGAGGGCTGGGTCTGGGCTTCAGGCCCTCTGTCGGTTGGACTGTCAGTCCCTCTGACACTCAGGCTGTGAGCAACACCCTGCAACCAAAGCACCACCCTCCTTGCAGGACAGGACAGGGAGGAATCAGCAGGCTTGGCTGGGGGAAACGCCAAAGTCTACAGCAAATCTTTGGGGAGGGATAACCCGTGGGGGGGGGGACCCCTGGAACAGCCTAACGAGGACTGACCATGCTCAGTGGCCAGGGAACGCACAGTGGCTACAGTCAGGGCAGACAGGCAGAACAGCCGCCACGCCACAGACAAAGCTGTGGTGGGGCAATGGAATGACTGGAGCAGCACTCTGCGCTGCAACCTTCTGCTGCAGTTGCTGCTGGACTGGTTCTGTGGTCCGGGGCAACGGCCAGACTCAGAAGTCCATGGCTTGTTGCCGGAGAGTTTTACTCTGTTTTACCTGCCCACAGTTTCTCCCACCTCCTCGTCCCACCTCCACCTCCAAAGTCCCACCGAAAATCAGGATGCGCCGACTCGGTTTGCTTCTATACTGGGTGCAGTTATCTGTGCCTTCTCCAGCACCCGCACTGAGCCTTCCTACCTCCGAAGCTTTTCTCTGATCTCCAGGTTTTTAATCTCGTTCTTGAGGTCATCAAACTCCTGAGCAGAAGTAAGATTGCAGAAGACCCGGAAATCATTGTACGGGGGGATTCCGTGATCACGCCCTCTCTGGATGTTGATGGCCGCCAGGTCCAGCGAGACCGAATGCACCATGGAGAAGAGCTTCTCCGTCAGTTCCATGTTCAAGAGTTCTGAAGGGATCCGCATTTTCCCAGGGACCCCAAAGAGTCCCCGGAGAAGGGGATCGATGCCCCCCTCCTGGAGAATCCTGAACGGGGAGAAGAAGGCCTTATGAAGTGGGACGTGGCCTTGCGGGATGGGCCGGAAGGTCGCGTTGAGCCGGTAGAGCAGCGGGTGGATCAGGGTGTGGCCGAAGCGGAAGGCCGCCGTGGCGAAGACGTTCAGGATGCCGGCGTTCGTGTTGGGCTCGTAGCCTCTGTACTCTCCCAAGACCTTCATCCCAGCCTCCCCCAGTATCTTGGGCAGCCAGTGGGCGTAGGTGACGTGCTGCATCTGGGCCCACACGACCTTGCGGGCCTCGTGGTAGACCGTGTCCCCGTCCCAGTGAGGATTCAGGGCCAGAAGCTTGGTGGCCACCCGGTTATGCTCGCGGAACCACAGGGTGTGCATGGCGGTCAGGCCCAGCTGCTCATTGGCGCGGTGGTCGCCCGCCAGGAAGCACGGCACGGGGCTCTCGCTCTCGTCCCGCATGCATTCCGTGGGAGGCCCCACGGCGAACGGAAGGAGGGCTTTTCCCGAGCTCGGAACCAGCTGGCCCTGCTTGAGGAGCCCCCGCTGGTTGCTGAGGTCCCGCAGTTCCAGGGACTCGTGCTCGGTGCTTCCGTAGACGTTGGAGCCGTCGATGAAGGAGGTGAGGTGGTTGATCTGCTCCCGGGCGTAGACGGAGTTCATCAGCAGCGAGGTCATGCCGCTGCCGCACACCGGGCTGGAGCGGACGAAGAACATGCAGCGGCCATTCCTGACCCGCGGGTCGTTCTCCGGGATGAGGATGGAGAAGCAGGGCGGGTCACTGGTGCACACCTTGCTGCAGGGCTCTCCGTCGGAGAACCGAGCCATGCTGATGGCAGCCACCGTCTGGTCCAGGTCGTGGTCCAGAAACTGCCCCCACTGCATCAGCATGTGCGTGAACTGGCCGTCCGGCGTGACGGTCTCCGTGCCGATCATGGCGGTCGAGACCAGGCGCGGCAGCGGGAGCGGGAGCCCGCGGGACTCCTCCACCAAGGAGAAGCCTCTGGGTAGGTTGAAGCCGTTCTGGTAGGCTGGCTTGAGCAGGCGCTGGAACGCGGTCAGGGACGCTCCCCACATGGGGTGCTGGAGGTTGTTGCAGGAGCCGTCGTGGGTCCGGTACTTCTTGTGAAAGCAGATATTGGAGCAGTTGGGCGTGCGCCGGTGGGCGGAACAGCCGGACAGGTTGGCGATCATGTTCAGGTAGTGAGGGGAGACCAGGTCGTTGTAGCGGTAGCCTGCAACAGAACTCCCAAGGTGTTATCACATGGATTAGCATCCAAACAAATATCCCGTACAAAATAAGGAGGCAGGACTCCCTGGAGAAGAAGGGAAAATCAAAGGCGGAGGAGGAAGAGGAGGGAGACCAGCTCCGAGATGGGTGGGCTCCATCAAGGCAGCCACAGCCCTGAGTCAACAAGAGCCGAGCGGGGCTTCAAGACATTTCGGAGGGCTTTCGTTCGGAGTCCCCGTACGTCAGAGGCAACTCGACAGTACACAACAGCAACAAAATCAAAGCTATTAATGCGTTCCAAATCACATGGTCAGATGGTTTAGTTCAAAGACCAATCCAGGATATCTCAATTTTAGGGTTAGTTTCTATGCAAGTTTTCCTGTATTAAGAAAAGCCTGAATACACATGAGTGACTATGTCCTTCAACTGAGTCTGAATGGCACATCTCAGTTAGTCTGCGACCTGCCACATTCTGTCCTCTTATTCTTCCTTCTTGTATGTTTTATGGGTCTCATAATTTGCCCATTACAAATCTCCACAATTTTTAAAGTCTTAAGTCTGGGGAAAATCGGCACATTTTTGGAAATATAAACACCAGTCAAGTAATACTTGTCATGCTATGAACTGCCCAGAAGGTTTGGCTATTGGGCACTATAGAAATAAAATAATAATAATAATAATAATAATAATAATAATAATAATCAGTATCTGAAGATATGCTCTACCTGCAGATTCAACTGAATTGCAGAAGTATAGAAACATAGAAGGAAAGCAAGTCAGAAGGGGCCTCCCGGGCCATCTAGTCTGACCCCCAGTTCCAGCCAGCTCCCCTCATGACAAGCATGAACGTACGCACTGTAACAGATTTGCACCAGTTGCTGAGCAGCTTGGGCAGGTGGACCTGCCTGGTCTTGCACCTATCCTGCTGGTTTGCCACCCTGTGTATGGGGTGCTGGACTGGACAGACCTCTGGTCTGATCCAGCCAGGCTTTTCTTGCGTTCTCAATTTTCATGTAAGAATATTGCAACATCTCATTTTATTTCTCCCTTTTTCCTCTCTTCTGGTTTTGGCTTTGATTTCAACACACAAAATGAAAAGACGATTGTTTAAAAAGGTGAAGGAAAGGCATTTCATTGGTATTTGCCACTTACATCTGTGGAAAAGAAATACACCTGTACTGTCCGCTTTGGGCAGGCCCTTCCAGCAGGAGGGGCTCCCTGGCCGATAAACACACAACAGCGACACCTCCGTACCTGTTCCGTTCATGTCCACAACCAGTCCCTGCTGCACATGCTCCTGAATGAGCTGCAAGGTTCTTTCAAAGATTTCTCCAGCCCGGGCAGTCTCAATAGTGTACGGATCCCGCGGGTAACGGAAAAGGGCCAGCAGTTCATTTGGCGTTTTGGGTCGCCTGTTTGGTGAGAACGGAACACCATGTTTCACGGAGCACCAGACGTTCCAAGCAGCTAATTTTCTGCAGGATCATTTTTACTTAGAACTGAATTCTATACCAATTGTGGAGCCAAGTTTTATCAGACTTTATCAAGACTTTTTGGTTAGCATGGACACCAGCATTAATTGCTGCCTTCCTCTTTCTATCCCCCCCCCCCCCCCCACTTTGCCATGAATCTCATCACAGCTGGGAAAGAAAACCGCAACAGCAATAAATTGTTGTGAGCTATTCTTGTTGCTGCTTGATCGATTCAGCTGCCTGCATTGTTGGGTGCATGAGAAATTTCTCTTTTTGGCTCCGAATTTACCAGTTTGTACTTTCTGGACACAACACAGGCTTGAACAGAATCTGCTGTCAATGTCCTTACATTTCTGAGTTTGTAACTTGATTTGCGGTCCCCAAGAATACATTTGAAAAATGTACAAGAAAATGCATACTTTAAAAAATGAGCACAGACACCTTAATCCAGGGATGGCAAACCTATGGGCACACAGAGCCCTCTCTGTCGGCACGCAAGCCAAGTCACCCCATGATCGCCCCCGCAGCCGAGCATCGGATCACAGCGCACACAGGGGCCATGCGCATGCTCAGAAAGGAGTATCGGCGCCAGGCAATGATGTCATGAGCCACGACTCATTAGCTGTGATTCGTCTGAGCTTTCGCATGGCCGGTCACTGCGTTGCCAAGGATACGTATATTTTTGCTTGGACTGGCTGTGAGTTTTAATACATTCATTTTTATTAACACAAGATTTTAGCTTTGAGTTTTCTTATGAAAAATTGAAATTTAATATCTGAGATTTAGCAAAGAGGTGTTCTAATTCATGTTGTGCTGTCCCCCTGGCATATTTGAATCTTCAGCATTATATTCAGATTTTATTGCAGTGTTGGCACTTTGCGATAAATAAGTGGGTCTTGGGTTGCAGTTTGGGCACTCGGTCTCTACAAGGTTCGCCATCACTGCCTTAATCTATGGGGAAAGAACGCACGTAGTTTAGGGACGGGTACACCCAGCACCTAAATTTGGAAAAATATAGATGAAATTATGCACATCTCTGTGCAAAAATAAAAGAAAAAACAAAACAAAACCAACATTTGCCATCTAATATGCACAATAATTACAACATTGGAAGGATGAATGGACACCTGCCATTACAAAACAGGAGGAAGAGTTAATGAAACTTTCGAACTTTGAACAGGGGCCCTTTAGGAACAAGCTTCAAATGGATAAATATTGGATATTTGTCCTGTCTTTGTGGAAGTTTATGCAAAATTATTTTTAGCAACAGTAGCATGTTTTGTTATACAGTGACAAGTAAGGGATCTATAATGTCCACGCAACTGAATCTCACCCTTACTTGCTAAACAGTTCGGTCCGTGTGGAATTGATCGCGTGGTCCACACTGCTGATGGCTTCCTGGATCGAGGTGGCCACGAACGTGTCGCCGGTCCTGCCGACATCAGTCGCTGGTTTTGCCCCGTGGGAAAACAACAAAGGGAAACAACAGCAAATCCAAAATCAGTGCATATTCCATTTGAGCATCATCCGCAGACTGTGTTCCAACAGCCGGACCTCCCCTGAGCGTGCAAACCTTTCCACAGCCAGTTTGCTCAAGATACGCAAATGCCACTATTATAAGAATAAAGTGTTGTTATGGGGGGGGGGTCTTTGACTTTTGCACCTTGCAGTTTTCTCCTTTCTTCTCACGAAGGCTGGCCTGTGCCGCTCTGTGTTTTACACCACAGCTCAGCAACCTCTATGCCCTCAGTGAAAAAGAGGAAGAGGTCAGGCTGGGTCTGGTGCGCCTGCCTCAAACAAAATGCCTGACCCATTTTGAGACCCCCCTCAGCACAAATGGGGATGCTGCAAGTTCCCAGAGGGGCAGGATCGCTCCCCTGAAGTGCCTTCCCTTCCCTTCATCCTTTCACCTGGTGCTGCCTGAGGTCTGTCTTTGAATCCCGCTCATTGTCCCACCTGAATGGTGATGGTGGGCAAGGCCAACTGTATGGGCACCTTGGTGGACCAGATAGGAAACTGTCACATATGGATCAGGCCCATTGGCTGGGGGTTCCCTAACCCGCCCTTAAAACTAGGCCCCTGTATGGATTTGCCGCTGGTGAGAAGGATCTCCTTGAGGAGTTGAGCGTCATGGTTTTAATTAAAAATATTTGTGGAAAGCGCTGGGGTCTCTTAGAACAGGGCCTTCCTTCTCTCATTAGCACAGGTGGAGTGCCTCTTCTATAAATCATAGGAGAGCTGGAAGGGGCAGTGAAGACCACTGCACATTCCCCACCCCTCCACCCCGAAACAAATAATTGTCTTTCTTTTGTAAGATCTTCGCAGCTCAAATAAACACAGGTTGAATGCTGCAATCCCTCGTATGTTTAGACAAAAAAGTCCTTCAGTACCCAGCATTCCCTGCATAAGTGGCTGAAGAATGCTGGGAGTTGTACGACTTTTTCCCATGTAAATAGATTACACCCAAACTGATTCAGTGAACTGCAAATGGGTGAACCCGCCTCTCCTCCCGGTATGTATCAGCCAGGGCGGCCTTCCCACACTAGTGTGCTGAATTACGGATGTTTCCCGGCAAGCCCTGGCTGAACAAGGGCTTCCTGAAGAGGGCAGTGTTAGGGGAAAGCCAGGTGGCCCCAACCCACGCTAGGAAAGCAAAGCGAAAACTATCTTACCGATGACTGTCAGCTGCATGGTGCTGGAAGTGAAGCCAAAGGTATTCCTGGCTATGCACTCGTATCTTCCTTGATCTGCCAGACCCAGATCTCTGACAGAGAGGGTTCCCTCCGGGCTGATATGAAACTTTCCACTCTCCGTGATCTGAATCCCTTCCTGTTGTACACAGAAAGGAGGTTAAAGCTTGAATAGATTTGCTTCTGCTTGTGACCCATGCCAGGCCCCTGCCTTTCTCTGCAACAGAGCTGTTAATTCTACTTCTACCCAATTCCCTTTATTATGCGGATGGCAAGCAAACGGATCTCCCGCAGCACGGTACTTCTAAGCTTCAGTGAGTGTCCCGGGTTTCAGCATCATGAAAAAGTGTTGCCACAGAACTGATCCCGATTACTATGGCCTGCCTTTCTCAAGCTAAGTGGGCTACCAAGTCCTGCTGTCAGGGTGGGTCCTTCCACAAAGACATCTCCCTAGCTCCAGGTCTTTTTGAGCTCCAGGTGACCCTGTGCTGTCCCTTTTCAACTGATGCCTAACTCAGGGGTCTTGCATCCCCAGTCCATTTGTTAAAGTTTTCATTCACACGAGTGCAAAAGGCCCAGGTCAGCTGTCCTTCAAAAGATCAGACAACAACCAAGTTTCCTCCTCTCCGTTCCTGGAGCCTTCTGCTCCCATCCCTGCCTCCCTGTTAGCATCTTCCTCTTCCTACCCCCTTTCTGACTTAGGATCGGCCCCCATGTCCTCTTCGGACAGGTCTGCAGAGGTGCCGAGCTCAGCGCACCAATCTTGCACTGCAGGATGTGAGAGACAGATGCGCAAGCGCCGCTCTCTGAAAAATCAACCACAGCGACAAACACACACTGCAACCACAAAACCTGGCATCCTGGTGTGATTTTTTCCCCTCTTCTGAAGGTTGCGTGTGTGCATGTTAAGGTGTGGAGGAGCATTCGGAACCAAAACCCATCACTTGCAAGTGGAACAACTCGTTTTACCGCCTCGATCTCCTGCACGAATCAACAGGGCCAGAGGGCCACCTTGCAAGAAGCGAGTTTGGCTGGGTCGCTCCATGTGAAGGCGCTTTCTTGGTGGGTCTGCATGCAGGCAACTGGCCTTGTGTTAATGATTCAGTAGGTACTTCGCAACAAACTACCTCCCAGAAAATACAGATGAAATTAAACACACTGGTTTGTAAACTGTGCATAGGCTAAGCCATTTCTAAGATGGGCTTGGCTCAGAAGTCTTCTGAAAAAGCCAGCTTGGTCTAACTTTGACCAAGAGTGCTTCCACAGCAATTGTCTTGCATTGCTGGGGCAATCCAGACAAATCTCCCTTGTTTTCTCTTTGCTTCCTCATCTTTTTCTGACTAGAAAGAATCATTTGTGGAGGAAAAAATGGAATAAATGCAAAATGCATCTTTTAGCCCTAGCAGGTTTCCCTCAATAACTGGGGTCTTCAACACGGTGCCAAAGAAATCTCTTTTGGTAGCTGTCATGAGCTCAGCTCCTCCTTTTATTTTTCATTTTTCCTTAAATTGGAAAACTAATATATTGCAAGGCAAAGCTCTGCCATCTACCCCTTTTTATTTGGAGTTTCTCCCTTCGTGTTTTGGAGCTCCAATTTCCATCGCTTCTGCTTTAAGCAAGTTACTTTCCTTTCAGCTGTAGGTGTGTCTTCTGGGCAATGCCTGTTTTGTGCCGGGCCATGCTCACTGTGGCAGCCATTTTGTGAAAGCACCCACAACACTACCAAGATTCCAAAAGTGCCTCCCGACACAGCAAAGCTGGGGACCCCCCTTTGGGAAGCACTGCACCCTAAATACCCAGGCAACACAAATGTGAACCAGGCACGGATTTTGTGTAATTGCATTTCTTCTGTGTGACCACCAGATGTCGTTAAGGCATTAAATTCATCAGAGGGAAAGCTGAGACTTGAGGCGAGATTATTTGACATACAGGATGGCTCATGCTTCTTGAAATGCATGCTTGGACACATCGGTATGAAACCTGGGGCATAAGCCTGGGCTTGGATTAGGGGTCCCTCCCAGCATGGATGGGTGGGGTGTCCCTGCTGACCAGGAAGGCTACCCCTCCACCCCAAATTTGGAGATAAGATGGCAAAAACATTGCTGCTCAAGGCTCTCATACCCAGCCAACTATCTGTACTCTTCACAAGTCCTTGCGGTGCTTCAAAAGCCTGCGAAATCCGATGTGAAAGCGGGGAAGGAGAGTGAGGGTGGCTTTTGTGGTGGTTTTCACTAATTTCTTGTTACTGTGATTTCCCACATTTTTTCCTCTTGCAAGGAACCCAAGATAGCTTGCAAAATTTTCTGCCTCCTGCTCTCTGTTTTATCGGTACAGCAACCCTGTGAGGTAGGTTAGGTTGAGAGTGACTGGCTGGCCCAAAGTCGCCCAGGGAGCTTCAGGGCTGAGCAGGGAGTAGAACCCGGATCTCCCAGGTCCCCGGCCCAGGTCTCTCACCACACCACACGAACTCTGGTGTGTGCTGGGAAATACTGGCTGGGAAGGACGGAGAATGTAGCCCGGGACATCTGGAGCACACCAGGATGGGGAAGGCAGACGAACGCCACAGCAGCACCGCCAGGAGAACCTCGACACTTCAAGATACACACCAGAGGCCCTCCTCTGCATGGGGTCCTCCTTGGAGATTTGCTGTCCTGCAGTCATGGGAGTCCATCAGCCATGGATCCCAACCTGTGAAGGGCTTTCAAGGCCAGCCCTCAGCCCTGCCTTAACGTGGGGCAGGATCCAGCCATAAAAAGCCAGCTCATACAAACACAACTTTCAGGGTTTTCCACAAAGTGCTGATACACAGATCTGCACTTCTGCCATGGGGGGGGGGCACAGATCTGCACTTCTGCCATGGGGGGTCTTGGATGTGCCCTTCCCGTTTGCACTCAAGCCTGTGGCTTGTATAATTAAGGAAGATTTGGAATGGGCACCTGCCATCACACAAAGGGTGCAGGAGTTAACAAAACTTTCAGTTTTTGAACAGATGGCCTTTGTAATCTAGAAATGGACCATCCATTTCTAGTGTATTGTTGGAAACTGCACGTTATTTTAATAAAGGTTGGATATTCTGTTATATACTCGCATATAGAGATATATAATATGTATGTGATTAATGTTATGGATCATTTTACATTCTATTCAACATTGTAATGCCTCAGTTTTGTCCCCCCTTCTCTTTAATGGTAGCTTCTGTTTTGCGCTTTTGTTTTGTTTTGCACTGCATTGCACAATGAACAATGAAAGAGAAGTAGGTTTGGGGATGGAACATAAAGGAAAAGGCCACCCTTTTTGCGGTTTCGGCAACCACATCTTGGGGAGGGTAAAGGAACACCGGAATCACTGTTTAGGGCGAAGGAAAAGAGCTTCTAATGGCTTCTAATGGGTGCGGAATGTATTTCAGTGGAATTCAATTTTGGAGGAGCTTTTGGGGGCCAAACACAAAACAGGACAGAGCAAAAGGGCTAGACCAAGAAGAGCAGCATCCGCCCTGCACTCATGAAAAGAGACGCTGGGAGATCCGCTTCCATCTTTTAGAACGAGGGAGCAAAAGGAAGGGCCATGCCTGCTCCGGGAACCCTGCAGGCCAGCCTGGGTCCCCGAGCTGTCTGGGTCTGGCCACGGGCATGAGGTCACAGCCCCCTCTCTGAGGAGCAGAAGCCCCAAGCCCCTGGATGCTGCCGATCCACCTGCCAGGACTACGCAGGAATCACTCTGACCTTGGCCCACATGATGGTCGGCCGGGGATCCCCTTGGGCAGCACAGACAATCTCGATGTCCTGGCCGGTTTCGGCAACCACATCTTGGGGAGGGTGAAGGAACACCGGAATCACTGTTTAGGGCGAAGGAAAAGAGCGGAACACGTGTCAGAGCCCTCCTGGCAAAGGAGAACCAGAAGGTTGGGGCGAAACCCTAAAGGAATCCAAAGGGTGATGAAGAAGCACTTCTAAACGGGACTTGCCTCGCGGAGTCACCCAGAGCTGCACAGGGACGCTCCGGACCCCAATCACGCTGATGGCGTGGCACTCGTACGGGCCTTGGTCATGAAGGGCCACCTGGACCACCCGCAGGGTGCCCGTGGAGAGGACACTGTGCCTCCGGTCACTCGGCAGCGGTCCACCTGAGAAGACCAGAGCGAGAGGTTAAGGCACGTGTATTCAGATGGTGTTCCGGATCGGAGCGGGGAATACACCCATTTCAGGTCTTCCTTTCATAAGATCCACTCATCCTGAACTTGGATTTTTCCCAAGTACGTATGTATCTGCATTTCTGTGCACATTTCTCCCAAGACGTACAATTTTGTGTACAATTTGGCTAACATAAAAACTGTTTGCAAGTGATTTTCGTGAACACATGAACATTTCTGCACACTTATTTTGACTGGAGAACTCCACTGAACAACTTCAAAAAGCTGTGAATTGCAAAGGATAATTGCATTCTCATACTCTTACTGGTTTGAAAGTGCAACCTTACCGACGCAATCAGCAGCGGTAGGAACCCTGAGAGCTCACTTGGAGGCTTCTGTGGTTCATTGATGAGATCCCAATCTTCCTTGAAAGAAAACTCGCCGGCTGCAGCCTTCCTTCCCCTATAATGCCCAGCAGCGAGGTATCGCTGGGCAACCACATTTTAGGTAGCGCAAAGCCGAGATCAAAAGCTCCATGTGTAATATCTGTGCACCTTAGAACAGGTGTGGAAAAAAAGGTGGATCTGCAGCTGTTTGGAGCTTCTACTTTGGGCCTGCATGACCAATGGATAGCAATGCTGGGAATTGAAGTCCAAAATATCTAGAGAGTTCTTTTCTACCCATCCCTAGGTAGAGCATTCAGCCAGATCTACACAATGCAAGCATGGAAAGCGTTCCTTAATGACAGTTTCAATGCCAGTGTGTTCCAGGGATAGATGCCTCCCTTTCCTTCCTTTCCAACAGATCCATGTGCCTCAGTTTTAGGAAACAAGAAAAGGGGCCCTCTTTTGTGCCATTTGGGCTGCAGCAGCCGATGTGGAAGAAGGCTGGTCACAGAGGCCTCGCCAGTAACGGAGTGTCCCCTTCTGCACGTCACTCGCACAAGTCCGTGTTTGCAGACTTCCTCTCCGTTTGCTTTGCAAGACTGGCGCGAGCACAAGAGGGAGCCCGGGAAATGCTAGAGGGACACACTCTGCCAGGGACTGTGCCCACCCTACCCTCAGGCTGGTGGCATGAGCCCTTAAAAGGCCAAGAGGGAGCCCAGATCGCAGGGAGGCCTGTGCAAGAGTCTAGAAGGCCAATGAGAGGAATGGCTTGGCTGGCTAGACATTTTCCAGGAGCAAGTTGGGGTGGGACTAAAAGAGCCAAGCCAAAACCCTCTGAAAGACGCGATATACAAAACCCAAAGGGCTTGTTCATCCAGTTTCACAGTGAGAACATTGCCGTGCAGGGGTGATCAACCCCGGTCCTCATTCTAATATGCAGAAGGAAGCTTTCCTTGGGGGCATCAGAGCCAAGAAGACAACACAGGGGGAGGCAGTGACCTACCTGGTCACTGCCTCTTAGCCTAACCTCCCATCACCAGGGAAGGCCGAGCTCTGAATTCGGGCGACTGCACAACCGGCTTTCTGCATTACCTTGCAAGCCTTTGAAGCACCATTCCTTGCTGGTCTCCCAAACCAGTAGGAAAAAGCACATCTCCCATTAATCTCTCCTGCCAAGGTGCCTGGGGGCATGTAGCCACTCTGATTTTGCAACACATACAATAGGGGAAAAACCCAGGTATAGTCTGGTTTTGCATTTGTATCTGTAGCTGCGGAATCCAGAACCGCTCTCCTGGACATTCACTACACAAGATGCAATTTGTGAGCGTGGACCAGGCGATTTGGATTTCCTCTTCTCTCCTTTGATCATTTCCACCATACTCTGGGATTTCTGAAAGAATGGCCCACGAGGCGAGGTTTAATGCCAAAACCACAGTTATTATTGCATTTATTGATATCGCCAGTTTTGTTGATCTGCCAGTAGCCATGCTGCTAAGCGGGCCTTCCCTGGGCCGTGCCGGATCACAAGTCTCAGCATCCCATTGCTGGGGATGGTGGGCACTGCAGTCACTGCATTCTCTGGGCACCCATTTGGCCAAGAGTGCAATGAAGCCAGAGGGCACTTCCACCGCCTCTGTGCGCTCCAACCATCGCCACTTCAGGATCGATAGTGGGCAAACACTCTGCTAAACACACTGTGCACACTTCCAGTCCGCAAACTGTGCCACGAAGCCAGCACCATACCTGCTCTGGTCCAGGCAATAACAGGCAGAGGGTGGCCTTCCGCGGAGCAAGGGAAATCGACACTCTGGCCCTCCGTCACACTCTGGTCAGTCGGGATGACCAAAAACCTCGGGGTGTCTGAGAAGCGGGAGAAGATGAACAGAAGAAAGCACAGAACAGGTCAAGCGGCATGAAAATGGCAGATCCTCTCCCCACCTTGTGTTCCTACTTCTTCCCTCAAAGGATCAATGACAAGCTCTTCATTCCCACACTCTGTTTGTTTTTAAAGGGAATTTGGCTCAATTGAGTGGCTTTGTAAATGCTCGCTTTTGCAATCTTCTGCTGTATCGAGTTAATCTTTATGGTTAATATAGCATTTCAAAACTTTGCATACATTAGAAGTCGTTGTTATGTGCTGCCAAGTTGTCTCTGACGGACGGTGCCCCTATGAGCTAAAGCCCTCCAAGATGTCCCGTCTCCGACAACCCCGCTCAGCATTTGTAAATTCAAGGCCGTGGCTTCCTTGATGGAGTCAATCCGTCTCACGTTTGGTCCCCTTTCCCCTCGACTTTCCCAAGCACGGTTGTATATAGTACTTAAAAGTAAAACATTACTGCCAAGTTAATTCTCACGGGACTTAATATAAGCAGTTATTCATCTTGAAAGCTAGCAAAACCAGCTGGTATTTAGGCAAGGGCAGCTGCAAACACGCACTCCCAATAATGCCGTGGGGTGGAACCCACAGAGAGCACTCTTTCACCAATCTCTGGACGCTGTGCCAGCTCTCGTCTGGGGCACCCCACCCTTTCTGGCAAGCCTTGCACAGACGTTCCCTATTCCGCAATTTTGTGGTCTGCACCCGAGTCTCCCTCCTGAGTCTCGTGCAGCCATTTGCCTTTTCTGTGCCCCGGTAAACGATCAGAAAGTGGGTGCAGGCAGGACCTCCTGTAGGCGAAAGGCTGGCCGTGTTCTTCCACTTCTGCAGCTACTAAGTATAAGCAATCGGACTTAACATCCAAGCAACATGTTTGAAGGGATCAAGGTACTTCTGCCCATGTGCTCAGTCGTTTTCACAACAGCTTTGTGAGAAGGCCGGTAAGACTGGGCCCATACTGCAAACTGGAGGGTTGGAGGACATGAATGTTAGCCACTGAGTGAGCCCAGGGTTACAGTGAGAGCTGAATGGAGCTATTCTCAGACAACGGCCGAGTTCACACATAAAGCAAAGCGAAGGTAATCAGGGTTTCTTGCTTTAGCCAATGAATGGCTTTGCAGAGAGCAAACGAATTTTAATTGTTATTGTCTTAATTTATTGTTGTGAGCCGCCCCGAGGCTTCGGCGAATGGGGCGGCATAAAAATGTTTTAATAAATAAAATAAATAAAAATGCAGCACAATTTCATTTCTAGCTCATTCCTCTCCTGCCCACTTGGCAGCAGTGCAAACAAGTCAGGGATAAGCCATGGTTCCAGGCTCACACATCACAACTAGCCATGGTTTCAACAGGCCAGACTTTCTAAGCCAACAACAAACTATGGCTTCTATTTGCGGTTTATAATTTATCAACAAACCATGGTTTATATGCACAGGTGGGGTGAAGCGCAAGACCTCTTTCAGCATACCATGGTTTAGTGTTATGTGCAAAGCAGGCCCAACTCAGTACTAATACATCTGCCGGGAAATCTGAAAATTCTTGATAAGGGAATGGGAGGAATCTAGGAGGAGTAAACACACCTGCTTACACCTTACTCTTAGCTGTCTTACTTTTCACACTCATAGTTTTGGATCTTCCTTGACTTCCACATAACTCGGTGCCAACCCATTCTCAATAATGAATATATTTTCCGGTCACCTTGTACCAGGAGGTTCGCTGTCGCTTGGATGGACCCCTCACTGTTGCTGGCGTTGCAGCTGTACTGCCCCTGGTCTGAGAAGGTGACATTTTGGATGAAGAGGCCCCCAGAGCTGGTGATGGTGAAGCGGGCATCCTGGGGCAGTGGAGATCCCGAGCGCAGCATCCAGACGACGCGCGGCGTGGGGTGTCCAGACACCCCGCATTCCAAAGTCACGCTCTGGCCAACCAGCACTTCCGTGCTCTGGGGCTGGATAACAAAGCTGGGTTTGGCTGGAGGCAAAAGCAACGAAAAGGTCCGTAACAGAGACTTCGCATGCATCGCTGTGGAGTGTTCCACTTCAGCGAGAACGGCTGCATTCACACAACACGGAAAACACCTCTGTGTAGGGACTGTCGTTCAGATTTGCGTTACCATGATCTACCTGACAGACAATCAAGTGGTTTCTACTTAACCGTGGTTTCCATCCTTCCCACTCAGTCCTCCCACCATGGCCATGCATCCCATCAGTCACTGCGCCTGACATTCACTCCCAGTCCCTGCCTGCCTCTTCCTCATGGGTCCATATAAACAGGCAAGATGGCCAGAGCGGCTCCTGCAACTGCCACTCCCCCCAGGGAACTCTATGGTATTTGTATACCAGTACAGTGGAAACAACGATCCGGGGTTCGGACAGCATGATAAGCCTTGGTGGTATGGAGAAGCCATAAAACAGAGCCAAAGATGGGTAGGTCAGCCCTTTTCTCCAAATGCCACCCCCTAGCTTCTCTTTCCCTTTCTTCCCAGCTGGAAGTCTGCCAGAGAAGGGCCAGATGGATTTGCCAGAACTGACTGCATGCAGAGGGTGGCCTGACATGAGCTTGGAGGCCAAGGGGACCTCCAGAGCCCACACTGAAATCCAGGAGATGCCGTTACATTGCTAACAGAGGCACAGAAAGAGAAGCCATCTGATCTCTCGGACAAAGCCCCAACGCCTGAACTTGCATAGGATGCTTAAAGCGATTACACGGGTTGCCAGAATAGCGCAGGACGACTTCCTGCGTCTTGGCTTCGCCAGCAATATTCTTGGCCATGCACTGATAGATGCCCTTGTCAGATTCTCTGGTATCCTGGATCATTAACGTTCCGTCCTGCAAAAGGTTCAAGCGCCCGTCATGCGTCATGTCGATCTCATTGCTGAGAAACAGAAAGTAAGACAAGGTGTCAGGGGGCGCAACCCACAGCTTTCTGTGGCTTCTGTTTTCACTGCAGGAGGAGGAAAAATACATCCTTTATTCCTTCGCCCAGGTTTTCCCTCTGGGTTTTGTATTTCTCTGCCTTTCTGTACAGTCTACCAACCAACCGCACGATGGTGCTGGGGTTGGTATACCCGCAGTATAACAAATTTGCATGAGGGTTTTATTCTGGTTTGAAATTTAAGAGCTGGTTTTCTTCATTCTAACCCCACTGCCAAAAAAGGCTGGGAAAGACAGGAAAAGCCCTGGAGGGTGACGTCATGAAAAAGTCCTGGGAAGCCCAGGCTCATGGAAATCCTAAATGCAAGAAGGTATCACATCAGCCTGACCAGGAATCATGCAGATTAAGTCTGCTCTCAAGTTCAGCAGATACACAGAAAGTTGCATGACTATTGTGCTAAATTTATCTTGAGCACATCTTACACCTACTGAGAGTGAAAACCATCTTACTCCTCCCAGGATTCCCCAGCCAGCCATGCTGTTTCTGTCTACACTTGCACAGAATCGTGCCCTTCGATGCATTTGTTGAAACCAAATTAACCCTCATTCATTGCAATGGGCCTCCTTTAAGTAGGACTAGCACTGGCTTCCAGGCAAGGTTTTTACACTGGCCAGAGAGCTTGTTTGATGGCATTACTAAAATGCCTTAAAAGGAACAAGTCCAGAAATTGCTGTTGTCCCCTAAATGCCGCTCCAGCCTCGATCGGACGACCAAGGGTTCCAGTGAAGGACGTGCGCCTTCCTGTGTGTTTACATGACAACGTTCAGCTAGTTCTACTCCGTCATGGCTGTCAGCTGGGGGACTTGCTATGTGGTTCTGCAGAACTGGGGACCAGATCTGGCCCTTAATGGCTTCCAATGAGGATCCCTTGCAGGCAGCAGTCCCCAGTCCTCTCCCGCAGCCACTGGCCACCGGGGGGCCTTCTGGCTTTGGTGCAGGGCCCTCCCCATCCTAGGAATGGTTGAAATGCCTCTGCCAAGCCTCAGTGCCTGCCAGAAAGACCTTCAGCTAAAATGTGCCGCACGTTTCTGCACTTCTGCTTTCCTCTCCCCACCCCTTTGGCCCCGGGCCCCACCCACCACCGGAACGTGGCCCCCAAAAGCATCATGCCGGCTTGGGGCTCCTTTCAGAGACGCACCTGTTGTGAAGCCAGATGATCTTGGGTTTTGGGTTACCCTCTGCCCTGCAGATGAAATACACAGTATTGCCCAGGATGGCGTCCGCGTCATGTGGCTCGGTAGTGATGCGAGGACTCTCTGAAAGACACCACGAGAGATGCCTGCTCAAGGTCAGGCGAGAGAGACATTTGGGTTTTTCTTTCTCGGGAACATTGTGGCCAGGTGTGCTTTTTTATCTGCTCAGCTTGGGGGCACTGGGCCACTGGAAGCTTCAACTGCGTTCCCGTTGTGAGGATGGCTAAACTCCAGATGCAGCTACGTTGCTTCAATTCCCGTTGGGTTTGAGTTCTGGATTGTCAGGATCTGTCCCTTTTCAGCTCTGGGCAATAGAAAAAATTATGTTGAACATCTTTGCATATGTCCAATACTCCCAGTCCAGGTGGTACCTTCTCCAAACAGTGCCAGTCCCGCTTCAGAGCTAGCTGGACAAATTAGTAATCCGGCTTCCTTTGGAAGGGAATTTTTAAGAACGTTCCTATCGTCCTTCAGAACCCTGAATAAGGGCTTGCCGTGGCCTCAAACAGCACGTTCCTTTAAACATGAGTCTGCCCCTTTCCTGTCACTGCACCTGGAAAAGGTCATTGTAGAGTCGGAAGAGGTGCACAGAAAGGCAACTGAAATGATCGAGGGGCCGGAGCACTTCTGCTATGAGCAGAAGCTAAAACCACCGGGACTGTGCAGCTTAGAAACAAGGCAAGGAAGTGGAGATATAGGAGAGGTGTTCAAAATTCTGCCTGGTATAGTGAAGGTGGAGGCGAGACGTTTTCTCAGCCGGGCTTCCGTCTAGTTGTGGAAACCCGATGTGACTGCTGGGCATGAACTGTGTGTGCCCGGAGGCCTTCGCATGCTTCATCAGCCCTTCAAAGCACATTCCTTGCCCTGCTGCTTTCGATGGGAAGAGGGTCAACTTGTATCTGAGCACCTGTGGCGCTGGAGAGGGCTCCCGAGAGTCCCTTGGACCGCAAGGCGATCAAACCGGTCAGTCCTAGAGGAGGTCAAGCCTGACTGCTCTTTAGAAGGCCAGACACTGAAGATGAAGATGAAACTCAAATACTTTGGCCACCTCATGAGAAGGAAGGACTCCCTGGAGAAGAGCCTGATGCTGGGAACAATAGACGGCAAAAGAAGAAGGGGACGGCAGAGGATGAAGCGGCTGGATGGAGTCACTGGGGCAGTCGGCATGAGCTTAGGTGGACTCCAGGGGAGGACAGGATGGTGGAGGACAAGAGGGCCTGGAGGAATGTTGTCCATGGGGTCGCGAGGGGTCGGACACGACTTCGCCACTAACAACAATGTATGGCTGTGAGAGTTGAACCGAAAGGAAGGCTGAGCGCCAAAGAACTGAGGCCTCTGAATTGTGGAGCTGGCGGAGACTCTTGTGACTCCCTTGGACTGCAAGGTGATCAAACAGGTCAGTCCTAGAGGAGATCAACCCTGACTGCTCTTTAGAAGGCCAGCTCCTGAAGATGAAACTCAAATACTTTGGCCACCTAATGAGAAGGAAGGACTCCCTGGAGAAGAGCCTGATGCTGGGAACAATTGAAGGCAAAAGAAGAAGGGAACAGCAGAGAATTAGGTGGCCAGATGGAGTCACTGAAGCAGTTGGCGTGAGCTTGAGTGGACTCCGGGGGATGGTGGAGGACAGGAAGGCCTGGAGGAATGTTGTCCATGGGGTCGCGATGGGTCAGACACAACTTTGCAACTAACAACAACAAATAACTGAACACACGGATTAGATGCAGCAAAACATGTATTCTGCAGATCACGACGAGCCTGCCCTCCCCTGGGGTGACTTGACACCCAAGCTGAGGAAACCCTCGTGTGTAACAGTGCACAGATTTTCAGACCCCTTTTCAGTGTGTAGATACTCATCCCTGCTTTTTTGGAAGTAAATAAACTAGTCAGAACTGGCTGTTTTCTCTTGGAATGGGAGTTGAACTCTGTTGAGGAGGAGGAAACGGCTTCGACACACATTTGTCGTGGACCTCTTAGAAAACCCTCTGCATCAGCGGCGAAGTGTCTTTCACCGCTGACCCAAAGGACCACGAGTTGCAGAAAATGTGGGATCTTTGCAAATGCAGAGGACTTGCCGCCTTAATGCTTTCTCTGAGGCAGCCCTGCCATCTCTTGTCCCCGTCTGCCCTGAGGACTTCCGCCTGCTCCCGTCAGCCTTCAAACAGATCCATGCACAAGGACTCTGTGTTTTATGTAAATTCCCCAAACCAGGGTAGGAACTGTATCAGCCAAAGGTTAGCTAGAAGGAGCCCGGTGCTGAGACGACCTGCCCTCAAGGGTGGAGCTACAAGACAGAGAGAAAACGCAGCTCCCAAACTGGAGGCGGCTGCCCTGCATTTCCTCCACCTCTTTTCCTGGTCTGTCTAGCAAAACATATGATAGAATATTCCATTGAGTAACATGACATAAGCAGCGGCTTTGCTTGTCCTGGCTTTGCTTCCTGGCAGCAGCTTGCAAGGGCAGAGGAAGAATTCCACAGTGCAGAGGAGGACAAGGAGGTGCTGTGCAGATGCTTTTCACGGCGGTCACAAGGCTTTCCTGGCTCTGCTTCCCCACCCAGGAGCTCCCCTGAGGAATGGGACACCGGCTCCCATCAGCCCCCACTAGCATGGCCAGGAATGCTGGGAGTTGGAGTCCACAACGTCTGGATGGCTGGTTCGGACCTTCCTTGGCTTTCAGCGTCTCTGCAGGCTGCAACTCAGACCTGCCCGAGATATTTTGTAGCACTGAGGAAAGGACCAAGGTGTGTCCACTCACCTGCCCACACGCAAGAGGCGCCGGGTTCCATCCAGGGCATCCCCAGGTGGGGCTGACACCCCGGGAGCCACTGTGGCCAGTGCCAACACCAGTGGGCCAGATGGGGCACAGCTCTGATCTTCCTGGGAAGCCCTTTCAACCAGGATGCTCGGCCGGAGGGCATCCCCGGGCGGGCGGTTTGCCCAGGAGCCCCTTTCCAGGCCTCGCCGGGGTGGCAAGACGATGCAGGCGGGACGACCGGCCGGGTGCTTACCGCAGTGAAACTCCTGGGTGGTCAAGGTGACGATGGAGCGGCCCTGGAGCTCCGCGGGGCTCTCGCAGGAGGCGACCGCGTGGGTGCTGCCCTGCGTGGCGTACCTCTTCAGCAGCTCGGCCAGCCACATCAGGTCGCAGTCACAGCGCAAGGCGTTGGAGTCCAGCCGCCTCGGGGGAGGAAAGGGAGGGGGGTCACTGCGCCTGAGCGACCTTCCTCGGCAGCCAGGTAGAAACCGGGCCCCATAGGGAGCCAGAGCACTGGTGTGGTTCACCCTGTTCTCTGCGCCCAAGCTGGCGCCCTCCAGATGTGCAGGCCCGCAACTCTGGCCAGGCCGGCTGGCAGCTGCAGGCCACTGTGTTTGCAGATGCCTCCTGGGGAAGGCTTGTTTGCACAGGCAGCAGCTACCTGGGGCCTCCGACGGAGGTCTTCCCCCACGCAGGGGTGTTCCACACAAAGGACATGACGCGCACAAACACCGCCTGGGAGGCTCACACCAGTGAGGCTGAGATGGGCTCAGGCAGCCACTCCAGGATCCAGATGTGCACTTATCCTTACAAGCAGCTACTCAGGAAAGCCGTCTGGCTCACGGGTCCCCTCTACAGTTTCCACAGGCGGTGCTCAGAGGACACACTTCAGGGGAAGGGCATAGCTCAGGGGCAGGCCTTTGCATGCAGGAAGCCCCCAGTTCAAACGGTAGCATCTCCAGGAGGAAAAACTCCTGGAATTCTCCAGGAAAAACTCCTGGAGAAGCTCTTCTAGTCAGGGTTGACACAGGAACCAGCTGTTCCATGTCGGGAAGGGCCTGCTAGAGATAAGCGGACATAGTCCAGGCCAAGAGGGGTGCCATTCAAAGGTGAGGCGGTACTTGCTAGATGGCCCCTGCCTTCCCTTGGACCATGCAACCTCGCAGTGACTCTCCTGTGGTCTCCAGGATGCTTTTTCCGGTATTTCGTCCAAGACCCAAGAGATGTAAAGAAGCATGAGTTTGAAACAGGGCCTCCTGCATGCAGAACATTAGCTACCTGTCCAACTGAGATCTTGAGATGTTTCTACCAACAGGGGACAGAACAGCTGTTCACAGACCTGGCTTCAGTGGAGACTAAGCCCACGTGAAATGGGACCCCGGGCTGAAAAAGCAGGAAACGATGCGGTCGCATCCAGTCCCTGGCAGAATAAGATCTGCCTTTGCCTCCCTCCCAGTCATAAACGATAATTAATGTATTCTGCAGCAGCAAATATTCACTTACAGGCGCTTAAGGGATCCCAGCCGGGCGATGGCTCCTGGCTGGATTCGGGAAATCCGGTTGTTGTGCAAGAACCTGTTTGGGGATAATGAAGAGTACCAGCGTTTTTCTTGGTGTTTGGTAAGGCTATTCCCGAGTGACTCAGGGAGACAGACTGTCATTTAGGCGATTGCTTGGACAGTCACAGATGTCCTCAAAGCAGGACCTTGTCTGACCAAACGAGACACGATCACGTGGCTGTGTTTTCTAAAACGTAAGTTGCAGCTGCGAGAGAGACGGAGCTGCAGCAGGCCTGCAGGGAATGGGGAACAGGAGTTTAACCCTTCCCCCTCCATGATGGCGATCGGCCTGACAAGAATCTCTCCCCAGCTGAGCCACCGACAAAGGTTGCCCTTCCAGTGAAATTAGCAGCTTCGGGGTGGGGGGGATAATTCTGGCTTTATCGAAAACATGGGTAGAATCTCTCCAAGGTGGCATGCAACAATAAACAGATAAACCAATCCAGTATTTTCAGGATTATAACTGCAGTGTCAATTATCTGTATCAATGATGACAGGATTAAACTCTTCCCCTCGCCACTTCGAGAGGGACTGTGCTGCTCCAGTTACCCAGGGCTTGCTGTCTAGCTTTTGGGAACCTGCTCAGCAAGTACCAAATTAGACCAAAGGCCTGTCCTTGCATCATGCCTGCAAAGCATCCAACAGCAAGCCGGTGAGATGTCCCCGAGAAGGACACAAGCTCATCCGCCCCACCCCCCACCGCTGCCCATGTTCCCCAGCAACTGCTGCTCAGAAGCATCCTGGAGGCCAAACGTAGCCAGCAGGACTAGTAGCACTGACAGCCTCCTTCTGCATGGATTTATCTAAAGGACTTCCCGGCTGCCCAAGGGCACCCGTGTCCATGAAGGTGCGTTTGTGACTTTTGCTATTCGTGTCATTACAGCATTTAATGGTTATTTTTTGTCTTGGGACAACTAGATCCTTGGGAGATGGAGGCTTCCTGCCTCAGCTGAGTTGTGGCAGATGGGTGTTCCTCTCCTTTTAAACCCAATGGTCAAATTGCTCTCCTGGCTATTAGGAGGGGAAAGAAAGAGAGGGGATATGGACAGTTGGGGGGTTCCACCCCCACTCTCGACTGCTGCAGTGGAACGGTCTGCCCAAACATTGCAGGACTTTGGGGGAGTGGCTCTAACGGGGTGGGGGCATTCACGCCTCAGAGGTCTCCAGCTCCCAATCCATTTTTGACACCCCCAAGACCTGCCAGAATGTCGCAGGAGGTACGCCTGCCAAAGGTGCGACCATTTCACGACTTACAGTCTTTCCAGCTTGGGCAGATCGCTAAAGGTGTCCGGCTCCAAGGTTTCCAGGTGGTTAAAATGCAGGTAACTGGCACAAAGGATGGGGGGGGGGGACACAAAGAAACAAGCAAGCAAACACCATTAACTCCCAGGCAGAGCCACCCATTAAAGGGTCGTGTGACCCCACAGCATTCACCAAGGGTGGGAGGGCTACCTGTAGCATTTCCACCTATTGCCATCGTTTCCCACTGGCCCCATATCATTCTATCACACCCGACAACTTTTGTGGGGTAAGTGTGAAGCGCGCCTCCAGCGGTAACACGGAAAAGGATGCTCTTCCGCTAGGCCCAACCTCCGGAGCCTTCCTTCCCCCAAGTGCCAGACCTGAGGGAGGCCCGGAGGGGGCAGCCAGGGGCAGGCCTTTTCAGTGGTGGCCCCTCTCTCTGGAACAACCTCCCTGCTGCAGGTTGCCTGGTGCCAAACTTGCCATCATTTTGGTGCTGGGTCAAGACAGCCCTCTGTGTAGAAGCCTTTCAAGAGCTCCTTGGCTATCCAGGGTCCTGAGCGAATGATCCAGGGGACTCTTTTCCACTGCAGGGTCATTTTTATTATATACAAGAAACTCAACTTTTAAACTCATTTCACATTCATTTGAATGTTGTTTTATTTTAATACTTGCATTGTAGTTTACTATTGTGTTTTATGCTCTGTTGTAAACTGCCGAGATGGCTTTGGCTATGGAGCGGCATAGAAATTAAAGGAATGACCATCTAAATAAATGATGTAAGGAATTTGGGGAACTGGGGTGTAAGAGACAATATTGCGAACTCCTATGGGCGTTTGACAGGGTGTCTTCGTCTGCTGCGAAATAGGCAGAAATTCAAGAAGCAAAGTCTTCCCCACCAGCGCATTTCCTCATTGGTCAATGGTGTACCAGTTGAATTGCTGCCTGCCATGCAGCTGCTGCAGATGCAGAAGAGGAAAAGCCTACAATCCCAGCCACGATAGAACTGCGAGGGTTCTTTGCAGCCCGTGTGACTGTTGTGATTTTGTTTCATTATCCTAGCCAAGCTAGAACAGAGAAGCATCAAATCCACTCAAGGTTTCTCAAAGAATTTGAGCCGTGGCATCTTTGAGTGAAACCAGTCTGTTCACACAGTCTTAAGACTACAAAAGCCATGATGCTGTCCGACAGCGAATGAGGCACCCACTCAGGAAAACATCTGGATCCATCTGCAAATAGACAGCTCACTTCAGTGCTTATGGGACCAGCTGGAATCTGAGATGCCAGATGGATTTTCCACGGAAATCCATCGCTCCAGCATGGGAAAACTGGACTTGAAGGCAGAATTGCAGCGGGGGGTCACGCATGTTTTCCAGACATGACAGGTTGTTATCTGGATGAAGTGTTTCAAATTCAACATGACCAAATGCAGTGAAAACTGAACACAGGTTGTCTTTTTTGTGTAAGAAGAGAGTTGTAGAAAATGGGATTTGGCACTATGGGAAAAGGGGTGGGAGCTGAGAAAAATTGTCTATGCATTCAAATAATTCTTCTATCATCCCCCAGACTGGTCCTTTATCCAAACACACCTGATGCTATCCATCATTCACCAGCTCAATTTGCCATGATGGCTTTGACGGAAAGGACAGGGCAATTTGAGAGATGCCAAAGCATCTGGACAAACACAAAAAACACCCCCTCCCCGATTCAGCACAGAAACCAGATGGGTTTTATTCCCTCTGATGCCAGATTTGTTATGCTCATTGGTGCAATTTGGGTGCAGCCAGAAATGTGACTGTTTCAAAATAGTTTATATAGAAATGTCTTCTTTTTTTCCTATTAGAGAATCATACCTTGCATGGCTTATTGTTTTGCCTCAGAAGTTTATTTCCCAGAAGCAACAAGCTGTTTGTCAAAGGGAAGCAGTGCGGGACCATTCCTTCCTAATATGTCATCCCCAAAGCTGCTGATTCTATTTGCGAACAAGAGATTAGATCTTGGCTGTCGTGCCGTATTTGATCATCTGAGGAGAACTTATTTTCCAGACTCCATGTCCAGAGCCTCTTAGAATCTTTCTACAGCAGGCATTTATTGTGTGTCTGCGACTCCCCACTTACGGCTGTTTGTGTGTGCTTTTCAGAAAGCCTTCATCTTCCAGGGCTTCTCCTGAAGTTTTTCAGGCATTTTTTTTTAAACGAGGATAGTCTGGTATTTTAGTGAATAGCAGCAGGAAACCCTGGTGCAGGAGTGCAATTCTGCTATACCACAGTGCCCCCTAGTGGTTGTGTAGTGGAATATAGGCAAAGAAAAGTGCCAGCAGGGAAAATGTGCAGTGGATGGAAAGCCAGGAGTAGCAAAGCCCTGTGCTGACCTAGCATGGCTTGCAAACTTTTCCTGGCTAGGGAACTGGGCCGCTTTTGTGACTTCTGCTCACGCAGCCAGAAGCCTGGCATCCCTGCCTTCTGGTGCTGTCGACACTGACCTGCCCACAGCCACCTCCCAGTTTCCCCCCCTCTTCAACTGTGCTGTCCCTCAGCGCCATCTTGGCTTGGGTTCAAAAGGGTGGCTTTGTGTTTCAGAGCTCAGCCCTGTCACTGCCGTAAGAGCAGCAGGTGAGTCCCCTGGATCAGAACGTCTGATCCAGCATCCCGCCAGCTGCCCCTGGGAGACCCAGGATAGGACAGGTGTGCAACAGCACCAGCATGCCCATGCTCCCCAGCAACTGGCGTACACAAGGATACTACCTCTGAGACCGGGGGCAGCCCAGGGCCATCCAGACCTCTTGGGGAAGCTAATTCCCGAGCTGCACTGCGCGCTGTGTGAAGGGTTTCCTTTTACCTGCCACCCAACAGCTGTATGACATGACCCTGTGGGGGCCTGAGTATCTCTCCCTCCCCACGTTCTCCGTTCTGCTCCGTGTTTAGGCTCTTGGGCGTGGCTCTCTGCTTGAAGTCGCACCAGTTTGCCTTCCACAAAACGGGTATTTTGTGCTTGGCACGGGAGCGATTTTCAGAATCAGCAAGCTCCTCGCCCCGCACCCCCCCCAAGGCAGCCATTCAACCATGCTCAGTACTATTTCAACATTCCCAGTGTGCCCAATGCCCCCCCCCCACAAATCTGCGGACCACTGTGCTAAACTCTGTCAACAATGAATGCCAGTGCATCTCAGCCAGGCTGCATGCAAAGGCGCTGTGCTAAAATATGAAAGGAAGTCCAAAGGCCAAATTCATCCCTCCGCTGTGAGTTCAGGAAGGCATTCCCATTTCCCCCCCTCTTCTGTAGGTGGGCAGAAATGCTGAGCACGTGG